CTCTGGCTTGAATTTCTTGGTGGATACTGGCGCTGCTCTTAGCATCATCCCTCAAAATAAAACTGAGATTAGTCGAGAAACATCATCAATTACACTTCAAGCTGCAAATAAAACTAAAATTGCGACATTTGGGCAGAAAACTTTAACCCTAGATTTGGGGTTCAGGAGGCAATTCCCTTGGGTTTTCACGGTAGCCGACTTAGATCTGGCAATACTGGGGATGGACTTTCTAGAGAGATACGAATTTCTAGTTGACACCAAGAAACGGCGATTAACACTAAAAGAAACTTCGTATTACACAAAAGGCAAAGAAAGTCACATCAGCTCTCTTAACTTGATTCAAACTCCCCAGTAACAACAGCGAAATTCCAAGATATACTCGCGGAATTTCCAAACTTAACTAAACCAAACCCACAGCCTTCTAAAGACAAACTAAAAGTGAGTCACACTATCAAAACCGAAGGTGCACCGGTGTTTGCAAAACCCAGGAGACTAGCACCAGATAAGCTCAAAATCGCTAGGGCCGAGTTTGATTATATGCTACAATTGGGTATTATCCGTCCCTCTGATAGTCAATGGGCATCCCCTTTGCATATGGTCCCAAAGAAGAATGAAGGTGACTGGCGACCGTGCGGGGATTACAGAGCCCTAAACCGTCAAACCGTACCAGATAGGTACCCAATACCTCATATCCAAGATTTCACAAACGGTTTACAGGGTATGAACATATTCACTAAAATTGACTTAGTCAGGGCATATCACAATATCCCAGTGGCTGATGAAGATATTCCCAAGACAGCTATTACTACACCCTTTGGCTTATTCGAGTTTGTACGCATGCCATTCGGCCTGAGAAACGCGGCACTTCCTCAGATATTCTTATTCCACATTCTCAAACTTTCTCTTGAAAGCACGCAGCAAACCATCGGCGATAGTTGTAGGAGAAATCACATGCTACAAAACAAAATGACAAGCTAGTAAATGAAGAGACATCCATGGACTATCGTTGACAGCGTCAGTCGTCACTGATTGTAAATCAAACAGTGAGCGAGTTGATAATTTTCCCTTGGGATGAGAAATAGAACTAAGGCGTTTTCGATAGTGAGGTTAATCGAACCGACGTTCCTACGGAAGTCGATTCTAGGGGGAAGCTAATGTAACAGCTTAGGTTGGTTGGTTAAGAAGTGACCCCAAACAACCAAGCATATGCTGAAACAGTATTGTTCAAGTATTCATTCACTTCCTTATTTTTTATAAGCGTTATATTCCCTATTATCTTATATTGAATGTTGAGAGCCTTTGTTTGTCTGAACAGATAATCCCATGCTCCACTGTCACCGCGCTAAGATCGAAATAAAGACCTATTCACTACTTGTCTGGTTTCTTCTATCAATAGCACGAGGGTTACTTCAAGGCACGAAAAATGAACCAACAAGAACTTGTCTTTCGGCCCAGGGTCATTAGTGCTAATCGCGCAATCGACTGGTCAATTTGGGAACACTTGGCTTTTATGCTGATAGTAGGCGCGAAATAGGTCAAATTGAAATTTGGATCTCGACGAATGCTGTGGCACATGATAATGGTCAGCGGTTTCAAAACATAGGAGGCATAAGCGAGGGAAAGATATACAATATCGTTGCCTGGATATTCTGACGTTCATAAATTCTGAATATCGTTCTGTGGAAGAAGTACAACATCATTGCAGTTGACCATCTATATAAATGGTAGCGAAGCAACCAATATATACTCAGGTGTTATTTAAAGATATGTGAGACGGAGGCTATATGACGGCCATTTTTCTTACTGCCAGTTGAACGCAAAATGACACATAACTCGTTGGTTTAACGGTTAACCAGGGCGTTTTCGCTAAACACGTTGAACTTTTATGAACCTCATAGCTGCAAATGCATCTGTAGACTTATGGTATTAATATTGCTGTAAAGATAGACCTAATTCTAAACTTGTACATTTGTCATGTTGTAATTGCCTAATCTATAGGATCTTACGTGGAAGTCATATCATTGTCTGCACTGACTCATCGTATCGTAACAATTACAAATATATGATGGAGAAAACATTCAGGCTGGAGATAGAACAATATATTTAGTAGGATTAAAAGCAAGTTGTACAGAGCTACCACGCCTGGTAGGCTAAGCCGTGCCACCCGATTAATTAGAATTATTTGAATTCAGCTCAACGGGGTGCATTAAATGAAAAGCACAAAATTTCTGAGAACAGTTGAACTTGCTATGAATTTATTCGTCTTATTCAATACGATATATTTATTACAAAATGGGTTTGTAGGAACTGCTGCTCCAATTTGAAGCAGGAAGATGCTTTATTTGGCTTATGACTCATTTCTTTTAATTTACATTGGTTGATTTGGCTATTTTGCTTGTAACCAAGTTGACTATGAAGTGTACTCAAATTGCACTACCTATCAAACATAACTTATATTTTCTGTCGGTATAATTGGTATCTATGAATTACTTTAACTCATCAGTTGCGTAGTCAGAAAGCCAATCACCTTCCTCACAAAAAAGACAGATTGAATTTCGCCTCGGAATCTTGAAGCAACTCAAAATTTTTTGGGTTCATAGATAATCTGTCTACATCAAATCACTGTATGGTAACAATTACCGATACATGATCGAGAAAAAGCTTAGGCTAGAGAAAGAACAATGTATATTCAATTTGAATAAAAGTTATATGGTAACATTCCGCAGGGACCACACCTGCTTGGCCGAGCCATGCCATCTGATCAACTCCGATTAATTCAAGACATTGTTCCCGCCTTTTCCGTCGTCAGGCTTTTCTCCGCGTCAAATATTGCATATTTATTTTCCGAGTAGTCTCGTGTTCAGCTTTGAGGATGTGTGGTTATGGTCCAATGTCACTAAAAGTGTATCTCCAGTACAGTAGCTCTTCAACCCTCAGAAGCGTGAGGTAGGTTTAAAGCATGAGATTGGTTGCTGTTTGATGATCAGTTTTGTTGAGTACAAGGGCTGGAGGGGATATATCAAATGAGCAATTAAATTTACTTAGAGTGTTTATCCAGCTGGAGGGAGTGGTAATATTGTCCAATTAAAGTTGTACGGAAGAAGCGAGTTTGTATTTATTTTGTGGTTTTAAATGAAAAGATCTAGGTGCCTCAGCAGAGATGCCACAAGAGGCTGTATGCAAAAAATCGTGTACAGGATGACCGTGCAGCGTTACGACATCTCCAGTGAAGTCCTGACAGTAAAGCTCGTGGATTGGGTTACAACTGTTTGGATTGTTGTTAGCTTGGGGAGGATCTACTGTTCATAGCTGGCAGCGATTTCATCCGTTTTCATACTAAGGAGCTACTTTTATTTAGTGGGTTGGTATTGTGGGATGTAGAAAATTTCTTTCCTATAGTGATTACGGTTGTGATCTTGGGGATAAAAGGTAGAGTGTGGGTTGAGAGATCTTTCATTGATAGTCCTAGACTTTAGTGGATGAGCAGTGTAACCAGAACATTTATAACTACTACCAGTCCGCGTTTTCAAAAGTTGATTGAACTCGTGCCTATCACCAGTTTGACTACTTAGAGATTTTGATGGTAGGTCACTTGATATCAGAGGGGAGATCCATGGAGCAGTTAGGTTGAGCCTTGTCTGTTCATTATCTGATGTCGTGGATTTCTTCCATCCGCCCTTCTTGGGCGGAGCTGGAGAATTTCATGGTGTCTTAGTAGTGTTCTGTGGGATGAATTCAATTCTATTCAGGCTATCTTTTGTCGGTTGTGTGTTGTCACATGGCTCATATGCAAGTACGTTACTGTGCTAACAGTCTGGACTAGAATCGTCAACGTCGTTACGTTATATGGTATCAGTCAGAATATGTATCATATTTAAACATTTCTAGTTAGTAGGCTCATTTAGTTCTAGATATTTGATATTTTTCACAGTATTAGAATTTGTCTCTTGCCGGTTATTTTCTGTAACATGACCATGCCATCCTAATACTTCACGTTCTCCTACACGACGTCAACAAGGCATTAGGTCTGAAGGGACTTTCATGCTTTTTGATGAAATCAATGAGCTGATAATTTCATTAGAACTGACAAGCTATTTGGCATCGTCACAATAGCTAAATTTAAACAGGAAGGGATATGTCGATTTGTCTGATCTTTTTCTAAGGCGAGTGACCTGACAGTTTACGTTCAGCACACCTTATGTTCAACAGTAAATATCCCTTAGCTTTGGGAGGGGGCGTAGCTGCAAATAAACTGCCGAAATCGATAGCTCTGTAAGTCTTCGACATTTGATGCTGATCACATTACTTTTAGTTGATCCACCTAGCTGAAGGCGTTTGGTCACGCATCCGTACCAGATCACGAGTGTGGACGTTGTGCTTCGCATCTCCTACAACCGCTAGCCAGCTTAGACTTGTCACTTCTCGACATATCGATATCCTTTAAAATATATTTTCGAACCTATTCGTTTCTGACTTTTGATTTGATCTGTTACTGGTTAAGGTGTTTTCAAACTCAAAATACTTATGGCATCTTTAATGGTTTGGTCACGAAGACTGCGTAAACCATAATTCTACAACTGTACGTAACCACATTGTTGGAAGATGTTACTTTTTTCATCACTTCTTCAGCAGAAAAGTCTGCGGCACATTCTGATTTAGTGAGTGGTGCTAAATGGTTATGATTATTATTAATTCAGAAAGATTTGTAACTGCCCTGTACCGCGACAAGAGAGATTAGTATTTTGGTGTGTCAAGTAGAGTACTAGACGACTTTGTTTATGAAGCAATAGAAATAATTAAAAAAGACATGTACATGAGATAAAACGAAACTAGAAAACGATGCGTTGCCTGTCACTGATCTCATCCGCGTGTAGGCATTAAAAATGATTTATTGAGGCTTGCTACTGTGCTAAATTCCTAAATTTGTTTACTCAGTATGTGTACAAAATAGGATCTCGGAGATCATTAGTTTGCGGAAATTTGTTACTCCTGTCAAGGTCAAGGTTGAGCGCTCATAGTCCAGTTTCGTTTTCACCAGTAACTGAAGATGGGTTCGTTGTTCCGGAGCGAAGAAATGCAATTGTCTCAGATGTTTCTGCACACAGACATAGCCTACATGTGCATATCAGAGTTAGGGGAGTTGGGACTGGTGCAATTTCGAGATGTAACTAGTGGTCTCTTTATGTTATAGTACTAGACCGTCCCAGGTACCAACGCCTTCCAGAGAAAATTTGTAAATGAAGTTCGAAGATGTGATGAAATGGAGCGAAAACTGAGTAATTTTTACGCTAAATCGGCGCATTTACTTAGGATTCCTGGAGAAGGAGATCGAAAAAGATAAATTTCCCATATTGGACACTGGCGAAAATCCTGAAGCTCCGGCCCCACGTGAAATTATCGACTTAGAAAGTATTTTTGAGAAATTAGAGAACGAACTAAAAGAAGTGAACTCAAGCGCAGAAAAACTAAAGAAGACGTACCTGGAATTGTCTGAACTGAAGCAGATTTTGCGCAAAACGCAGACATTTTTTGACGAAGTAAGTTTTTATTTTTTCGTACGAGTTAATGTGTCGCCTTCAAACTGATTTAAAACGTACATTCGATAAGTTTGATGTTGCATTATAGTTCGGTGATGTGTTTTAGTAAATACGTTGAGTTATGGTCTATCAGGCTCGATGAACATAAAATATTATGGTTAACATAAGTGATGGTGGTATAATCCACTCATATTTATACGACTAAGAATAATTTCAAGTTTTATCTAAACATAGTATTGTCAGATTAACCTCTATTTCTCCCCGGCCTGGGGGTTTGATGAGTTTACGCGTAATACTCATATCATTTGCTAGTCCTACTTCATTGTGGGTAACAGATTGAACTAACCAACTGGTTATTCATCACCTATCGATTAAATATGAGCTTTTTTCGGCATTTATGATCATAAGTTTAGTTACTAGGGTAGACCTGTCCTACTTCCATTGATCAAAGTGTTAGTTCTCATGCATTTGTCCATACAGTACAGATATCTGAAAATTAGGAATGTTTAGACTTTCTTTTGATCCGTAACTCGTTCATCACAGTTTTTTGAAGTGTATTGTGGGGAGTTCTCTATCACTTCACTAGTTGCTTTCCTAACTTATTGTGCTAGTTTTTAAGTTTTCGAATGGCTCACCTTTCTGTTTTCCATTCGTTATTGGTGACAAACTATGGTAATCGGTTTTATCAGCTTTATTTCCGATTAGCTAATAAGATAGTCTATTTAGCACATTAAATCAGCTTGCAAACAGCGATTTGTAATGGTAATGGTAAATCAGTTTACAAGGGAAGCTGAATGTTCATTTTGCCAAAGTAGAAAAACGTAACAAGTGATGAAAGTACTAGAATTTCACACGGTTGGCTGCAGAATCCAGTTGCATTTCAGTTGTCTAAGTAGTCTCTGGCAATCTATAGTACACATTGTTGTGGCTTATTTCTTTTCATTCAGTTAACTAGAATTTACTAAGTCAGAAAGCCTGACTGCTCATTATCAATGAAAACTTGATTGGTATACTTCAAGTTACACAGTTGTCGATAGCTGTTATCGGGATATAGATTGGATTAAAGCACATCCTGTATAGTACTGTGGTGGGGCATGCTGGTTGGTTTTTTCCTAACTAACCAGTGCTAGCGGAGACTCGGAGAAGACTCTAGAATCTTATGCAAAAATCTCAAATATACTAACGCTTTTCTTGTCGTGATTCCTACTTCCATCCAACTTCTTTATTTGGAGTTTAATTACGTTCCTGTTCAACCACGCTCGGATTTGGGGACTTTTCAAGTAGTATCTGAGAATATTTAGCAATAAGAGTGACTGAGTCGAAATAAGAGAAGTTATGACGGTAGTTATGCAGGTTTTGGGTCGAACTCTGTATAGGACGTAAACGTTCAACTACAGTGTCCTTAAGCTATACCTGCCATGATGACAATCTAGCCATTGCTCGTTTATAACTGAAGAAAGTAGGCAATATCTGTTCAAGGTTGTAATGGTTAAGAATATGTCAGGCCTGAGTTTAGCATAGACTACCAATTATTGTTTCAAACTAAAACCGTGTGGTTTTCTTAATTGTCACACAGTTGATCATCCTTGCGGCGTTGTTGAGCGTGACTAAATTGTTATGGTTAGCATTCACACTCAGGCGTAGGCTGCCTTAGACATCGGCAAGTTGTCCGTTGCTCTTTTCCTTGTATTGCATGTGGTTATACCTAATTGCCTCAGCCGTTGTCTGGTCCTTTTGTCGGTTTGTCCGACTTCGGTGTTGTACTGCTGTGAATAAATTAGTGCCAAGATTTACCGATTGAACGTCTGACCATACCTTCCAATGATTTGCCCCTTCGTCGACTAAACCGCGAACAGGCTCTGCACGATCCTGCAATGTCAGAAGAAAATGTTGGACTCCTTGGCGGTGAAGCAATGGGTGCTGCTGGCACTGCTGGTGGATTACGACTGGGGTAAGTTACAGCTTTTATATTCGCGTTATGTATATTTTGCTTACTAATCTGTTTGTGATTTTTAGGCCAACGTAGAATCTCATCTAGACTTAAACCCAATGAATGATCCCAATCATAATTATTCGGAAAGGGATGTTACAGTTCATACTAACAGTAATAAACGTCATGTAGAGTGAGTATACAAATCCCGGAAATCACCTATCGACTCTGGGAACCTATTGAATGTAACTCCCTACTAATAATCACAAATGCTTTGTTGATTTATGGTTTGTTTCCTATATCTCATCTAATCAATTTCAATTAACAATCTTATCTATCAACTTAAACTCCGTACGTTAATTTTTGTGTTCGACCTTAGAAATACCAATTCAGTAGTTTAAATACACTGTTGTGAAAACAAGTATGGTTATATGCTTGGTCAATTTTGTGGACCGATACGTTAGTGCACCACTGGAGCTGTATGTTTAGATTTTTACAAACTGAACTAGTTAAAGTAGTACTAAGAGTGTTCGTTATATTGAGTATGTGCAAACAGAAACTAGACCATAAATTAAACTACAGTGGTAACACAAAACATTTCTAGAAATTATCCACTGTGTATCCCTAGGCCCGAAAACTCGATTGTCAGCCCTAAGTTCACATATAACCATTGGAACTAATCGCCAATTTATCCTATGGAGAGTAAGTATTCTTACATACATGTTATCTACTTCATAGCTGGTATAACTAAAATATGTGTATTCTTTGCACCTTGGTTTTAACGGTGGTGAGATCAGTCAATCTGGAAAAAATAAATACCACTAAAGACTACCTATTTTGTAGTTCAAATTGTCACTATCCACCAAACGGATTGCCGTCTAAAATATCCCCAAATTCTCCCATATTATCTCCAAATTCATTTTTCATTATATTGAAACAGCAAAAGCTAGGATGTATGTACTCATTTTTTGAGCATATTTTGAAAACCATTGGTCTTAAAAGTTCCGTGATCCTTAAATCAAATTGGTTTGAATCATATCCTCTATTTTTTAATTAGTTACTAAGCAATATTATAGTAATTTGGTTTTCTAATTTCCCTATTGATTTTTGTTGAAATTTTAGCCATTCGTTACCTCATGCACTCCCTAGTACTCACGAATTAATCATGTATTCCTCACTCATTTTTCGAAATATATGTAAATTATTCAAACCTTCCTTACGATTGTTACGCTACCCCCCCACCTCACTCCATTTTACATTTCCTAGAATAGTTCTATAGCGATTACATGGGAATAAACCCATTAGTAACCTGTCACATCTCGACTTTTCAGTCACTGAGTCTGATTTTACAGCACCCTGTCCCCTTCATTCCCAGTTATTACATTTGGTGAATTCGAGTCAAATTAAAAGTAATAAAATATAACGAAATTATGTGTAAGGAAGAACTAAATGGTCTCACTAACTACGAATTCGAAAGACATTATTGGGGATTATTTCAGCAGTGGGTCAAGGTTTCATGGAAGTCGTCTGAGGTATCACATTTGTTTAGATGAAGCCTTGTGAATGATTGAAAATCATGATAGCAAATGGGTCTGTTAGTTCTTGTTCAGAAATTTCACCTTTTGCATTTCTAGTTTTTATATTCACATAACCATGTTTCGCACAGTAGCTTTCAAACAAATCACGATTATAACATACAAATAACAAATCAACTTTTTCAAAATTAGGTTTCTTGCTGGGATTATCCTTCGTGAACGGTTACCAGCTTTTGAGCGTATGCTGTGGCGGGTGTGTCGAGGAAATGTTTTCCTTAAGCAAGCAGAAGTTGATGACCCATTAGAAGATCTAACAACGGTGAGTAAAGCAATGAGTAGTTATATTGATGGGTTTTCTAATAAAAATTTAGTGATTAATTTCTGCCATAAGAGTTAGGAAAGCATATGTCGTAAACCTTTACATACCACCATCACAACATTGTCCAAGTATTAATATTCATGTTTCGGTAACAAATTTGTTAGCTTACCGCACATAAGTGGATATTTTTATGAGCAGTGTATAACCCGTTGCTTTCTGCGATGTGTTTCATTTCTTGAGTTTTGTGCTATCCATAGATATGAGAACCGGAAATGTTGCATATATTTAACGATTTATGGACCACGTTAGGTGAAAAATTTTCCCATCCATTTTTGGTTTTCTGACTCGATCTGCATTAAGGCCTTTTCTCAGGCTACTGTAGCTCACAGTCATAAATTAGTACTTTGTTCTTTGTGTCTAAATGCTTTTTAGGGATGGATTTCTAGCAACAGTGATAACTGCTGTACGTTTGTGCGTATATATGAGTCTGAATTTGACTCTCGTCTTGTCGATTTCCTCTCAGTGTGCTAATGTGAATAGAAATAATTTCGATCTTGGCACCTTTGTCCATATCTTACAGTTATATGTCTCATTGGATGGCATGAATTAAGCATCAACATTACAAATTTTGTAGCTGGTTCAGAAAGTTTTGTGAACTTCATGAAGTCTCTAATAAGAATAGTTTATTGGATTTTAACCTATAGTTTATTACATATCATTTTTGTCTAGTATGCGAAAGCGATCTCAGATGCCTGTGATTTTCGATTTCTAAGTGTTACTTTGTGAGTGATGGCTACTCACGAGACCGTGTTATTGACTTGAATATTTGGATGATTAAACATCAAAGGCAATACCGTCAGTCGTATGAGCAGTTTTTCATATAATAAAGTAACATGCTTATGTACAAAATATGAACACAAAAGAAACATGAAAAAATGTCATAGGCAATCGAAGGAAATTAGCTTTTAGGTCACTTATTTTCCAATCGATTAAGATTTGACTGTTAGGCTTAATCGGCGAGACTATAGTTTATGGACGGACCAATCAGATATAAAATAACGCGTCACGTATTTCGGCGCTAAGTTCATCCATACATTTGGCTAGATAGAGTTTTAGCATTATAACTGATGTCAGTTCGTGATGAAAATCCTAAATCTAATTATTAACCTTAATCAATTGTAAATGAGAATTTTAACTGTTTTATAACCCTCGCTTAGTCCTAATAAGTAGATGTCCATTCTCAAGGTCACTTCAACGTCACTCAAAGGTCGTCCATAGATTATAGTCTCGCCGTTTCAAGAATAAATTCATTGAAAGATGACCTTTTTGCTGAACTAGGCTTGTTTCTATGTTCTAGTAAGTTCTTAGCGTGCTAAACTTATCCTTAGACATTATGTTCAGGTATGGTTTTGCTTGTGTTTGTCTTTTGCAGGGCATGCCAGTCCACAAATCCGTATTCTTGGTATTCTTTCAGGGTGATCAGCTTCGAACTCGTGTTAAAAAGATATGCGACGGGTAAGTTTTAGGTCTTACTAACGTCTATGCAATAACTTTAGCCGCTTCTAGTCTAAATATTAATATGATTACTTCTTCATTAGTATTTGTACCGGTTCAAGAAAGCTGATTATTTGCACTTGCTTGTGTGTTGCAGTGACCACAAATATTAGGAGATAATGACACGGAAACGATACTAAGTCTAAGTTGTAGATATTTGAGTTCTACAGATTATGCAAATCACTGTTTACGAATTTTTTATGTGGTCTGTCTGTTCCCTTCAGATACTACGGTTGAATTACTAATATGAGTTGGCGAATATATTTCAGCATTCATCTTCCCTGTAAACAATGGAAATTAGGTTCGCAAAGTATTTCGTCCTCGCAGCGTCGCATGTATATATCGCAGTTGCCCCTGTCACTATACAAGAGACTAATGTGGAAGAACCTGTCACATGTTCAGAAGAATAGGCAATTTTTCGACAAAAATCGTCCTTTTAAGTGATTTGAAAGTTTTTAGTCTTTTGTCTTATGTATAAAACCAAGTTAGCTTAGCGTTCAGTTATCATCTTAGCGAAATAAGTTAAGCTGACGTATTGTATGCCTTTTTACGAGATTTCATTGTTTTGAACAATCTAGGGATTCCGATTGCTAATTGCTTTCAAGCTTAAACCAATGATGGTTTATTTTAAATTTCGTTCTCAAATCTCAGTATTTTCGATTCATCCTACAAAGGAGTTGTCTGTTGAACATCTAATACAATTTTTATTGTAAGGGCTTGCTGACAAAATAGAATGTATAAATGAACAGTTATTTTTTACAGATAATTTTCATTAAGGACTGACAACTAAAAGCCATTAAAACCTAGGTCTGACAATAAAGCCTCAGGAATTTAGGTTCTTGATCCGTACTGATAAATTCTAAGGGAGTAATTGTAGATATTTGAGAAAATAATTGGCCGATTTGTTTGAAAACGAATTCTCGTTGTGTTCAGGTACACACTTCATGTTTTTGAATTATTTAGTTGACTAGATAATATATTACTGTAATCTGATTAGTTAAAATCCATGTAGTGTTAAGTACTTCTAATTAGAAGCTGACACCAATAGTTCTTACATTCGAAAGTCATTCCATTCAAAAAATTATATTAGCCGATTCAATTTCCGTGAAACATCAAATCTGCTTAATCAATGAAAAAGGTAAACCAGTGATGATTGTCGTTCAACTAATAAACAAGATATGCTTATGTCAATACTCGTCAGTATTCAATAGTGATATGAAGTGTAAGAATACTTTTATTATTACCAATCGCATGTAGATGAAACTAAATGTCTAGTCATATAAAATGATTTAATTAGACTTGTAAATTGGGTCGTAAGTTGCCCTGGAGAGGTAATTGTTTCGTTATCTTTGTCGTCCTTGCCACAGAACTCCTAGTTGATCAATGTTACGTGTTTCTCTTTTTGATAAATTGGTGTAAAACCCATATCCATGTTCACTTGATAGTTTTGATAATTGTAATTTCATACATCTCCATTTATTATTATCCATATTCGGTCTCAAAGAGGGAAAGGCAGTTTAACGGATCATATGATACACTGGAAGTTTCTGTAGCACTAATAACGTTGGACATATGACAGATGCAATGACTTCTGTTATGGGTAGATGTAGACGATGGTTCAATAACTGACACGCTGCAAGTATCAGTGCTTCTTCTAAACAAAAAATGGAGTTTGATGTTCGGTCGTAGTTTTGTCACTGCAGTTTGTAAAGTATTTTTAAACTCGAGATTGTATCTAGTCCATAAAGTCTATAAAGCACACTGAAAAGGGGAATGCTTCTTGCCACTTTGTGGGATCCGGTGCATCGACTTCCAAAAAGTTGGTATTTAATTGTCCAATAGATTGGTTAGCTGTCAGAAATGCATTTAACCATTCATGTTGTTTTAGTAATAATTGGTAGCAGATAACAATAAATCGATGCGTTCGTGGCTTCTGTCAGTGATAAGTTTAAAAAGTATAAGACAGTTAAAAAGTATTCTGTCCACTTGTTTACGCTCTTCGTGTACATCAAACGGAAGAACAACTGAATAACCTTCAATCGCAGCCTCTACAGTTTTATGTAAAGTTGAAGATAATTCATTGAGTAACATATCCTTTTAATGACCTTATGGTTTAGATGTACTCATCATGAAAGGTTATACGAGTTCGGATAAACTTCCGTTATTGTTGCAGCTGCTGGGAGTGAGTCATCTATAAGCATCCTGGGCACATTTCTTTCATTAGTTGACTCCTCGAGAACTCAAACCGATGTGCACATATACCAGTTTCTACGCTGCATTTGACTGACTGAATATTAATGCAGAAATTATTCAACAGATGAACACAAAAGATTTATGCTGAGTGGCACATTTTGATATTAAAACAGACTCTCGTCGTTGATTTTGTACGTTTCATCAAAACTAGCTAACTACATCCAGGTCACGAGTAGTTAAATAATTTGGTCGGAAATTGAGAAGAAAAAATCGTCGAAAATCATTATCTTTATCCAAGTGATTTTCTCAACATCCGCCAAAGCAAGTGGTGTGACTCCGAAGTGTTTAATAACTCCTCATTTCATTCATGCAAACCTTTGGATGATATAATCAAACGACTGTTCGTTTATACATACATATACTTTCGTCACTCAAAAATAGGCTACGTTGTGGTATAGATTACAAAATCATAGTTTTGGATTATATCAACTTTGGGTTTAGTACTGTTGAGATCTTTACGCTTGTTTTTCTTTACTTTTAACACAATGATACTTTTACTTCTGACTTTCACAACATGAAAAAATGTAACTTGATTGAATGGAAGTCAGATATTAATCTGCCTTCATTTAAGTTATTGTTCATGACTTTCCATATTCCCATTAAAATATATTGTATGTGGTGTTTTTCTGTTCAAGTTGAATATTAGTTTTGATCGCTGCATTAATCTTCATTTATTCTGGACATAATAAATTTGAGCTATAAACATACGTAAATGAAAATATATTCACTGTGTAGATTAGAGTTCTATGTCTATCTTTTCTGTAATGAAATTTCATGTTAATCAACGTTAATGCGTGATTTACTTTTTTCTCCAGATTCCATGCAACCCTATATCCTTGCCCAGATTCACAAGCCGATCGACGTAATATGGCCATTGAAGTGATGGGTCAGATCCAAGATTTAGAAACAGTGCTAACGCAAACTAGGCAGCATCGTCAACGTATTTTAGAAACGGCCGCTAAAAATTTACGTACCTGGTTTATAAGGGTTAGGAAAATCAAAGCTATCTATCATACTTTAAATTTGTTCAACCTTGATGTAACTACGAAATGTATGGTTGGGGAATGCTGGTGTGCAGTGAATGACGTGGACAAAATTAATTTAGCTCTACGTCGTGGTATGGAACGCAGCAATAGTACTCTGCAACCGATTTTAAATGGAATAGTAACTACGGAAAATCCTCCGACATACCATCGAACAAATAAATTCACCTATGCTTTTCAAAGCATCATTGATGCTTACGGAGTCGCACGTTATCGAGAAGTCAATCCAGCTCTGTTCACGGTTATCACATTCCCATTCCTGTTTGCTGTAATGTTTGGAGATGCTGGTCATGGATTGCTTATGTTTCTTTTCGCTTTGTGGATGGTTGTATGTGAGCGAAAATTAAGCGTAAGTTTGGTTCAGAATTAAATCTTTTTAAAATCTAATACTATTAGTTATTAAAGTTCAGCTGCCTTTGTATATATATAATTTACTCAAGTTTGGACACAACTCATTTTGTAAACTTTGTTTCTTGCTAACTAACTTGCAAACTAATTTTCATATATCTTTTAAATAGCGTATAACTAAACTTATGCTAAATTCATTAACCTTAAATAAATCGATAAACGCATCACTTTTTAGTTGATAACATTATGTTACATAATTAAAAATTTATTTGTTTGTATGTCGAAGTCATTTCCTGTGCATTTTATTAATAATGCAAGCACACTTTTCTATTTACCTGAATGATTTCTCTATGTGTCATACACCCTGCGGATTGAAATATCACTTAAGACCTTATATCAAACTTAATCATATGCTTTAATTGCGTACACCTTACATTAATATTATGAAATAAATATCCTTAGTTTTAGATGCTTTACTAATCAAGACCTGTATATGATGAGATTATTGTATTAATAGAAATCATGTACATGGAAAACTACTAGAACAATACCAATTAATCCGAATGATACAAAAGGCCGTTTCCTGATTCACTATTTGTTACACACTTTTTCAGTCATTCCGATGCAAAATAGGATTATGGTACAACACAACTATTCAAGTGTCGAAAGGTATAAAAAGCACTAAACAATGAGTGATAATAAAATGTTAAGGAAATTAATATCAAAACTCAATGGTTCGGGAATGTATCACCTAGAGTCCTCATTAATTTCTATTGTTCAAAAGAATCTATTCAGAATACCCTTCATCCTGTTACATACTTCAAAATCAGTCAGTGACTTTTCGACTTGCGGGATTCCCTGGTCTTACAATCCACGCATTGTTTCCAGCATAATATATTAACAGACATTGCAAATCATGGTCGGTGACAATTCGGTATATGTAATTCGTGAGGTGGATAAAGACTAATGATGGAATCCTTTTCATACCTCTTTAATCAGCACTTACATCTATAAACTAAGTTCTAGTTAACTCTTGATGTAAGTCGATAACCATGTACAAACTTGATTTCATACCAGGTTTGTTATTTGAGGGTAGATAATATTCAAACTTATGATCAGATGGTTAAAAGCAAATATATGAACCACTTAATTATATAAATTTTTAGCTCGCTTGCGATTAGTCTTGTCATTTCAATGTTGTAAAACTTCAACTTCAACGTTTCCACTACACGATAATGAATTTTTAGGTTTCTTTTATATTATAGTAGATTCACTGTTCTGTGTGTACTGTAGGGAAATTTCATACAAATATGTACTGGCCATAATCACAGCACACTATAGAAATCAGGCATTCCATAATGAGTTAATATGTAGAAAAGAAATGAAAAACAAACTGTGAATGAAAGATGGTGTTGTTTTAGTGTGGCGTTACTCATTGCTGTTACCTTTTTTACTTTTAATGTTTTTAGGCTAATAAGTCCGGAGGTGAGATTTGGAATATATTTTTCAATGGTCGTTATATTATACTTCTTATGGGTTTGTTTTCAATTTATACTGGATTGATATACAACGACATATTCTCTCTATCTGCCAACATTTTCGGGTCCTCATGGTATCCAACTTATGATAATAGTGCTTTATCAAAGGAAGTTAGACTCCAGTTAGAACCTCGAACAAGCGTTAATGTGTCGGACCGAATGTATGCTGGATATCCTTATCCTTTTGGTTTAGATCCTGTATGGCAATTATCTGGTAATAAAATCATGTTGACAAATTCGATCAAGATGAAGATGTCTGTCGTACTGGGAGTATTACACATGCTATTGGGCATTAGTTTAGGTGCTTTCAATTACAGGTGAATTCTTTTTATAATTTTGTTTTCCATGTTTCCTATAGTACATGTCTTAAGAGATGATCTTTTTATCAACTGTTATTCCTAGTAGCTCTTTCATTTTTATCGTTACATCATTTTGATTAGAAATTTGTTCTATTGAATATTAAACAAATGTGATGATCGCATCCTACTTTTATTTCGCTTCAGTTCTCATCTCATGTGGCTATTTTCGAGCATTGAGATATCAAAGTTGCTGCTTTCATCACTCAACGTTCGCGTTAATAGTCTATATATATATATATATATATATATATATATATCAGTAGGTTACCTTGTGAACACTGGCTAAACATAATAGGACTAACTTTGTAGTCGCGAGAATCAAGGGGTGGAATAAAAGATTACTCAAGTGGGACTAGCTTCTGCTTTGTATACAGACAATTTGGAAATGGAATAAATTGGATTTATGTGTACGACACTAAACATGTGTTTTGTACATCTTTTATCTAAATCTGAAATAACTGGTAGAATGTGATAGGAATTTATTGGAAAGTTCCAACTAATGATCATGTAACTTGTGTATTTGGTCTATGTTTATACGAGTCAGTCAGTCAGTCAGCTACAACGTAGGACCAGGCACATATGTGCATCGGTCCAGGTTGCCATACCGCATCTGCACAACAAGATGAACACCGGATTCATAGCAGTGGTTATGTCAAAGGTGGTAATATATAAGAGAAAGATTGCATATAGAGATATAATACAAGAAGAAAGAATTGGTTTATACGAGTAATTTCAGATAATTTTTTTGATTAATGATACTACATGTTTACCCAAACAACTCGTTACTTAAGAATAATAGTTAAACAATCGAATACAAATATTCATTGTTATTTGTAAAATAATCAATATGCAATTCATAAAACGGGTATGTGCACATCATTGTACTTTGTAAATTAACATTTATTTCGATCAAATCTTGTGTCAAGTTGTATCTTAATTGGTATTTGTCAAATCATGTTTATTTGGGTTATTCGGTTTTCATTCTTTTTAAAGATATTTATTCTGTTTAATTTAAGTAATTAGCTGGTTTCACGTTGCCACCTTTCACTTTCCTATTCATTTCGAGTGCTCAGAATTCATCTAATGCAGACGATGTGAAGAATATGTTTTCTTTCAAACCTAACTCAGCGAAAGTTTAGTTGCTTCTGATTTTTGAATTTTTCAGACCTTTTCCGGGGACAAATTTTGTCTGTTAATAAAGAAATTATTTTCCTTTTTCATTATTTTACTTGGTTATTAGTTTTTACATATATTGGATATCCACTTCAATGGTTTTTATATTCTCTTTCTATGATGTTTTTCGTTGTTGTACTTTCCTTAATTTATTTTTATTCTCTTAGAAATAATAAAGATAACTTATCGATTTGGTGCTTACTGCTTCCTCAAATCCTTTTCCTGTCATGCATCTTCCTCTATTTGGTGATATTAATCTTTTTCAAATGGGTTGCGTATACGGCGGAAACGGCATCCTCTGCACCAAGTCTTCTTATCGGTAAGTTCTCAAATTTTTTCGGATAAAGTGCTCTACTATTATGTGGAAAGTTAATCATAATATCTGCAAAATATCACCACAAACAAAATAAGCATCGAGTTTTTCTTCATCCTAACTGATGCAATGATTATTGGTTGTTTGTTGCCGTCGTCTTTGTTACTATGTATAGTTAGCCTTTTTGTGTTTTTGCTTGTGTAAGAAATCTTTTATCCTGTAGTTTAATCGATGTGTTAATGGTCTAATCTTCTGCTATTCATTGAAATCACGAACCGATCAATGTTCGACCACCATTGATATTCACTTGCATATCATTCAAGATTTGATTTCTTCAGGTGGATCGTCTTACCGAATGCACTTTGATAACAAGAAATTCGGTAGTCTTGTTGTTTCTCTACGGGTATTACATAGTGCTTTATTTTGATCTTTGTTCGGCATTTAATCTGTTTAGTTATATTCGTTTAGATATGATACTTACAGTAATACATGATTGATTTAAAGACCGGTTTATTAGCATTTAGAGAAAATATGTGCGCCATCATGGAGTCTAATTGGTACTTTTGTTACGACTCATTGAATATACTGCGTACGGATAGTTTTAAGTACTACGTTAGCTTTTGACTCGTCATTCTTCATTTGGAATATCCGATCCTATTTTTTTAAAAATATTTCTATATCTTTTAAATTGTATTTTCTCAGGATTGATCAATATGATCCGTTTCAGTTATTCGGATGAAATTCCTCCTTTGTATTCTGGACAGGTTAGATTTCTGTTTTTTGTGATCTTAGGTTTAATTATTGAAAATATCGCTAACACTTTTAGTGGATCGTAACAACCAGTCGATAATGACTGATAATTCTGTTAGTTAACAATCTCATACCTAGTATTCAGTACCCTGTACATCATTTTAGTTTACATCCCAGATATTCTCACATTTCTTAAAATGTACGTTTATGGAATTTATGTTCATATGTAATTTAAATTAAAGATCAAAGAAATTACCATTCACTAGTTTCACTACTGTGTTTGAAAACCTAGGTGATGAGTTCCGAACAGCGCGAAGTTCTTACTTCGCTATTTGAGATACTATTATGAATGTCAGTTACTTTTAACTTGAACATAAGTTTACGCTCAATAACTAACTAGGGCGTTGAGTTGGATACCGAGAATTGCAGATTTAGAACAATGCCAATTTATAAACAGAGATAAATAGTGGTTGGTGGTGAGACTTAGGACGCGGGTTTCGTCCCTGTGTGGGACTTGTCAGCTGAGTGTACCTTCGTTTCAGTGTTGATGTTCACTCCCGGTCCTTGAACTCAGTCCCTTTCGCTTCAATTACTCATGTGTTTCACAATTAGTCACTGAGCCACTGGCTTATATAACATGAAAGAATTATAATTCATTTTTAAGGTTTCGAATCCCCCCATTTTTGCTTGAAAATGCTTTTAACTGACCGCAGTATGAAGGTAATCCGCTCGGGGTCCGTTTATGCCAAAAAATACAGATCAATTGCAGTCCCTAACATCATCGACAGGGAGATTTAAGCCCTTATAAATGAATGGTTATTTAGATGCTTGTTTCATCAAATCGTTTCATAAAAACATTCTTTCGCTGAGATTTTACAAATATATTCTTCCTCTTTAATTACTTTTTACATTTTATAATGAACCATGAAAAATAGTATGGTCAAGACAATTACTTAAATTTATATCTCTTTAGTAATGTATAATATTGTCAACCATAAACTCTCTATTAGTCACTGTACAGTTGAAATGTTATCAAAAAATTGTACAATAAACCGTCTACATGAGTAAGACATAAAACAACAGGTTTGGCATTTCATTCATAAAGTATTTTTGTGTGTTAAGAACCGTGAAATTCATCCTTGATTTAATGGATATTAAAGCTGCTAAAGTTCCAAATAGAAAAAAAATGAAGAGCAAATTAATTAATAAAATTTTCGTGACTCATTTAATAGACCATTAATGTTGGATGAGTGTTAAATAAATTGTACAAACATGTAAAAATAAAATAATCAGTTAAATCAGATAACTTTAGATTGTGGAAATGCATGCATATGAAGAATGTCGGGTTATTTTATAATAAAGTGGTTGTTATGTCATTTACCCACGTTTGACCTATTTGCAATGTTTAACTACTGATATGACTTTTGTTGTCGTATTATATTTTATTATTCTTACTACTATCGGTACACCTGTCTTCCTACTTCTATAAACTTGTAATTTTACCTATTATGTGTGGTGACTTATTCTATTTGATTGTGTGATTATTGACCTAAATTACCTTGATTGGTTTAATATTTTCGTATAAATATTCATGTATATTAGATTAAAGTCTGATAACGATCTAATTGAAGACAATTGTTCGCTTACATGTGTTGTTCTAATCTTAGATTGTTTAAATGTTGATCATATAAACATGATTTTGTTCCTTTTTTCTATCACTGTACGTTTTACTGTTAATTTTAGAAAGCTGTTCAAAGTATATTGATGGTTATTGCAGTTATATGTGTTCCTTGGATGTTGTTGTCTAAACCCTTAATTTTGTATATGCGTCATCGTGCCATCATGAAGGTAATTAAGTTTATCTGTTTTGTGTTAATCGTATTATCCACCTATCTATGTATAGTGGGAATCTTGATTGACTTATTTTCAAATTATAAGGATACGATTTTGTCTGCAAACATGTTTTTTTTTATTGTTATACTTTGTTAGAAGGATTTCACCTTTTGGAATTTTATTTTTAATCTTTGTTTCTCATTCTCTATTTCCGCTGTATATGTTGACGACAGTGTTCACAGCATTTTCTTGAATCCGATTAAATCTTGGTAAACAACTATCAATAGGGAATCCGTTATTTTCTAATATCGTGTTGTAAATGGTTCAATTATCATCTAGTTACTTTCCTATCTACAACACTGGTTTTATTTTGTTTTTGTTTTTTTAAATCTCAATCTTATGAATTCGGTTTCACTTTCATATATCAAGTAGCGTGCGTGTATATGACCTATAAATAAATAGTTATCCACCGATCTAGACCTTTCACATTAATTCATATCAGTATTCAACAAATTGACTACGTTTAATGTAGTGCTTAGTTGCAAACTGATCAGTATTGTTTATTTATTATTCAGATCCTCAAAGTTGTGCGTTTGAGTGTGTTCACTGTATTTGTAGTTACTTTTTAAAACATATTCAGAATGTTTATGAAAAGAAAGTAATTATTACTTGAGAATTTCCAAGGGAAATACGTATTCAGTGGTTGTATATCATTAGGTAGGTACTAGTTTAATGATATTTTGCAGAGTATAGTATAATGTCCAATTTTTGTTAAGTTAAATTGGGCCTACTGAAAAATTTATTATACCATGTATTATCCATTAGCTTAATTATCAATTCTACGCTGTTTGAAATTTACTTTCATTGTAACTAATATGCATACGTTGTTTTTACCTTTGCTCTTTTTATTTTGTAAAACACTTAAACTTATTGTGTGAAAATAGAATAGACATTATGTGGATCCTGATGCAAGTGTGCATGTGGTCATTGGTGGTGTAACAAATCCAAATATGGATGATAGTTTCATTGGTGATAATAATGGTATTATGTACAGTGACATGTCTCCACTACATAGATCGTCATCTGAAAAACGTTCTAAGGTTTCATTAATTAGTCAAACAGATTCACCAAGTAGTCATGATGTTCATAAGGTGAGAATTTTTAAAAAATACTTTTCTTCCTATTTCTTTACTAACTTTCATGTTTTTGCTATTTATTTAAAAACTTATTCAACGAAACAAATAAAAATTATGCGTTTATGAGGCTCGTGGCCCTGCCATTCACCCTGATGTTTCAACTAAATCATCCGAAAAAATAGCATTAGACGGCAATGGTCTTGGAGATGGAAGTGGTATAGGTTCGATGGATATGCCTGTGGAGTCTGTAAGTATCTTAACTGCGGTTCACTAACCGATAATAAGTGTTGTGTGTTCACGTTGTTGTCACTTTTGAATATATCCTCATTGTCGTGCATAAAATTTTCACTTGTATCTTATAGCCTGTATAACCTGTTGGGAATCTGATAAGTGGTTACCTTATTAGGAAACGAATACTTAACTTCTGTGTTTAAGTTTTTATTTAATCGACTCACGATTAAAATTTGTATACCACCCTTTTTATATAATAAGAGCATGAAGTAAGCCACAGGCTAGTATATAACTAAGCTGGCGAAGGGTTTTTCATGTAGTTGTTATTGTGTGTATCATTAACTTGAAATAACACCCTCCATTTTTGTTGTGTAACTATTGTATCTGTTGTCCTAAAATGTTATGTTTTTTATTTTAAATGAATGTATAACTATATGGGTATGTTGCATTTATTTCCATGTATTTCAGTTTGATTTCGGAGATATAATGGTTCATCAAAGCATTCACACGATTGAGTTTTGCTTAGGTTGCATTTCCAACACAGCTTCTTACCTTCGGCTATGGGCTTTGAGTTTAGCACATGCGCGTAAGTAGTACATTTGAAATTTTCATTGTTATACATAGTCTTGTCTTTTTCGAACACTAACACTTTACTTTTTAAAGCTTATCTAAATGTAACCTCTTACCGTCGTTGCCTACCACTGCTCATGGTTATTGTGTATACTCTTTGTTATCCTACTTCCAAATTACTTTTACTCTCTCGTATTTGGAACCTGATAGAATAATAGGTTACCAAGGATTCCTCGTAACAGTATATCCACCAAGATCCACTGGTTTTTTTTTACCTTCTGGTGTAAGCCATTGGTAGATATCACTACTGTTTTCACAGCTATTTGGTTATCGTGTAAACCTACATTTAGGTTAACGTAATTTTACTTCCATAGTTCGTTCTGAAATGTACTCTTGGCTTTTTCATTATAATAATAGACCTTAAGGGACCTCCCTGATGTGGATTTTTCGCATCATACAAGATACAGGGAAACATGTCCTCACTAGATCGTGATCATAGTCTAAATATTTGCTCCAGAGCGAACAAAAGTCTTCTATCAAGCTGGTAGCCTATCTTTATGTGAATTTGGAGGGCGCTATGTCATAAGATGTTTCTTTTTATGCTTAAGGTTGGTGCTTGTTAGGAGTAAATAGTTTTCTCAGCAAACTTGCAGCCGACGATTGCCGTTATATGTTCCCTGTTCGAAGACGCTGAGAGACTCACCTTATTATTTTTACAGGATGATCTACACTGGCTACTTCGGCATTATAATCAACCTCTACGATTATTTTTTGTATGCTTGGTTCCTTGAAGTTGATCAATATACTTGTCAAATTCATCCTTTTCTTCGTTCAAATTTCAGTCAGTGGAGCGTAGGCGAAAATTAAAAATCGCAAATAGTTTGTATCATTATCCTTACGAACCCCTGGTGTTTGATTTGATTTGATCGCACACATATGACTCGACTGAAAGCCAATCCAGGGTTACCTGTCCTACTCTAAGACTTGACTTCATACTTGTGCGTGTTGTTCGAACATTGAAAGCTCCAATACGTAGTTTAGAGCTCATTTTCAGTAAACTACATATAACATTTCATGAGCATTGTTGGTTCATTGAGATAAAGGCGACCTTTTAGGAGAATTTTCGGATATGAAAGATAGAATAAATATTAAGTAACGGAGATATTGATCGTGAATAGGATTACCTAGAGTGCTGTTGGTGTGTTGGCAGTTATAACTACTCGGTTGCTCACATCGTGAAAGGATACTTCTTACGGTATCCGAAAAAGAGACTTGTTGATTTAGTTATGTGACTGTGTGTCCAAAAGACAACTGTTTATTGCTGGGCACACGGCCTTTTGTTTAGCTACTTATGATTTTAATTCCATTCTTTTCAGACCTTATTGTTTGCTATGAAAATCTGTGAAAGAAGATGTATTAATTTATGATCTTGCCTTTTCCAAACCATTTCGCTGTGGGAAGACAGGATTACCTGAGATACTAGTTGTTTAAGAGCAACTATCTGCTGTCGTCACATTCCAGCATAATTGACAGCTTATTTTTACCCACAGACCTTAAATTTTCGGCTGTTTGTTTCCGGTATGGTAACAGTTACTTAGTGTTGTATTGATCCCGTTCCCTGTCCCGATGCTTTCAGGGCTGTGGTAGAACATACATCAAAAATAGGGTTTCTATTTTATTACCTAATGAATAAGTACCAAAAGTACCTTTATTCTTAAATTTTTAAAGTTACTATATCTAAAGCTTGTTCAGTCATCTGATTTTCTTGTCGTCATTGCTAACCTCCGATGGGTTACACAATTCTTTCGGTATATCCGTTGTTTTGTTATAATTTGTGCACATGGTTCCATAATGATACCTTTAATTTCAACCTGATTTTATTTGGTAGTGGTCTGTTCGTCATATATTACTGCCAATTTGCAATCTTTTAAACAAGGAGTTAATTGTATCCATCACCAATCCTTGTTTGATTGTATGAAATGTAGCCGTTATTACGTTTTTCTGAAATCAGATATTTCGCCATTATATTTGTATCTATCTTCCTTTGTCTGTTTGGTATAAGTTATTATTGCATTTTGAAAAAGTTCATTTTCAACTCCTCTTGCTCAGAATTATCGGAAGTCCTTTGGAGTATGGTTATGAGAATGGGTTTACGTATATCTGGTCTATATGGCGGTGTTGTGTTAGCATTTATTTTCGCATTCTGGGCTGTGCTAACCGTTAGTATTCTTTTGTGCATGGAAGGATTATCTGCTTTTCTCCATACACTTCGTCTCCACTGGTAAGTTCATTACTTTGTTTAGAGCTCTTGTTTATTATTTTTTTCGTATAAACAAGTTTGTAATTATGATTGATATAAGTCCTCCAAATCTTGGTGATATTGTAAAGTTTATGGTTAGTCTAATACGATGAAGAGCGCCATTCTCTGGTCTATCAACTCTAGAGATCTTAAGGGAAGATGGTCTAAGTGTAACCACTAAGCCGACTAAGATCATATGTATTATTTGGGGCTGAACCTAATCCTATCTGACTAGTTTCACTCTCCTATTGTCCCAGTTTGAAGAAAGGACGAAAATTCACGTGTGATTAAAGAAAGAATCGGTTTGGCAGATATAATATCTGAAATATTATCATCTGTCATCATCTGACGTTTGAATAGAAGCTCGTTAAGAATGAACTTAAAGAAATCAGACTGGTTTCGGACCTGGACATAGATTTATTGACTGAATATTCATTCCTCGTCAGATTTCAGAACTTAAGCGTACTTACTGATATTCAACTATAATCGTATCGATTTACCCTTCAATACAGCCTTTAACTATGTTGATCTAAAGGTCCTGTGGCATTGTCTGTCATTGAATGACGTCTCAAAGAGTATACTTAAGTCGTATAAAGGTTCTCTACTCAGACAATAGTCAAATCAGCTGTTTGATTGAATTTAACGACATTGGAAGCTTGCTTCTGATTCCCTTCTTCCCCTTTAAATACAGAATTTTTCTTCACGCTTAATTTGCGTCAACTCTTGAACTAGTGATCATAGGTAAAGTAGTTGAGTAAATGGATCACTTCACTTTTAGAGGTCTCATCAGCTTTGGTGTATTGATATCAAATGAAATCTCTCCACGGATTCGGTAAGCTCGATTGACTTTTGGTAGCATATGGGATAAGTAAAATATCCACCTTCCGGTCAAAGGACAATTATATTGGGCAGCAGTCTTCTCTGTGTTATTTCATTGATATGAAACATTGCTTTTAAAGTTAAAGACTTACGCAGGCTGCAGTTGCTTCTAAAGCATTGCTCACATTTCTTGGAATAACCAAGTAAACGATGTTGAGGTTAGTCATGATATACTTAAAAGATGGCAGATTCGTTAATGTGGTAGTGAATCTTTGTGTTTTGTACGTGCTACATATTTCCAACTACTTCTTGCCTGAACCAATGGTGTTTTCTGGTGTAGGTTGTAAGGAATCTAGGGTTGGCAAAAACAAAGACGTCAGTAGCTCATGAAGCTCGTTAGCAGTTATCCAGTATCATATTGATAAAACGAGTATACTGCGCAGCAGTTCGTTCTGTTCTACTATACAACTGCAAAACGTGGCTATTAAGAGTGGAAGATGCTCGTTAGTTGCTAGTATTTGGTCAAAAATGTCTTAGAAATGTAGCTCGCATCTGCGGCTCCTCCATTTTTATCATTGTTACTACATTATTTTGATTTTTTTGTAATGTTCTTGTTAGCCTTGTTTTGTCCTGTCATGTGGTATAACAGTTTGAGCCAACACAAATTCATCTCTGACTAATACATTGTTTAACATTGCTGACTATTCAACCTTATAGTCTGTACCAAGGTAATTGATGTGCCTAATATGTGATTCTAGAATAAACGCAAATAATCTGCAGTCACTATAATTATAATTATGTTAACCTGTACCCACTGTATTTTTTCTATTCTTTAAAAAAACATGAAGTATTCATTTTAGGGTACTGTTCGTAAAAATAAACTTTTTAGAACTATTTATCTTTTAACAGGGTGGAATTTCAAAATAAATTCTACAGTGGTGATGGTTATCCTTTCGTTCCATTCTCCTTCGAACATTCCAGCAGTGTAGTCGACAATTAAAATTAGACTTTATTATTTTGCTATGTTGTGTGTGTTCACTTAAATTTATCTTCATAAATGTTGTGATTATTCTTTTAAACTGCTATAATCATTTCATCTACTGGACAGTCCAGGTAATTTAATACTTATTACTTATTTATTTAACCCTTAAGTCATCATCTACTTAACCGATTTTATTATCCTTGATCATTATACATTGACTGGGTTCGTTTCATATTTATTAATTTTTATGTTGTTAGATCTACTAATAAAGCTGTTCAAATCCACTTTCACATTTTAAGATATTGCTTTATCACTGAGAGTTATTTTTTTTGTTTTATTTGAACAAACTGTAGACCCAAAAAATGGTTAGCTCAATTCAGATTTAGGATGGTCCAGTCCATTATATTCTAAATATACTCAATTTTAATTGTAACATTTGATAATGAGCGTCCGGAAATTAACAGGTACAATTTCAAGGTCTCCACTACCTAGTCTTACTGATACGTCTTTGTTATTCGTAGTGATTTTCGGGTGCTGTAACCTTCAGACTTTCAGAAACATAATAGAAACCAAGACAAGATAGGATCTAACTGTTCAGAGTCAAACTATGAATAAATCAAGTTCAAATATGTACCAAAAAATTATTAAGAAGGACGGTATTGATAATCGTTGTTTTCAGCTTATTAGGTGCCTCTAATTTCTCTCGACAAAAAGAACGTTCTTTCCACAGGCAAATGCCCACAATGCATACGCAAATAGAAATTTTAATTGATCGAACGACAAACAAAAATGAAAAGCTCATAGTAGCCATTTTGAACTGCTTGGTTGTTAGGACTCACCAGTACGCCTACAAAACCGAATAACCTAGCTCAATATCTCCTAAAACAATTTTTTGACAACACCTGTCTTACCCGTATATACTAAAAACCTCTTGGTGTACCCAATTGATATGCTATCTATTCTTCCTTATCTTCGACAGATGACAATGTAGTCGTGGTCCAAGTTAAGTAGCTGACTCTCCTTAAGATTCTTAATCAGATGAAAGCATTCGTTTCACGTCTTTTCGTCACTCGGTTTTTCAGGCTCCTTACAACTCATCGAAGCTCGTCGGTCTACTCCGGGTGACCGTGAGTTTGATCATAAACAAAGGCTGTTACGTAATAAAATCGGGCAAAGTAAATGGTTGTAAAGTGTCCCATTCATTCTTTTATTCCGCTTAAGCCATAGTGGCCACTTAATATTGTGAATTCTTTGTCGTGACTGACAACCAATCTGCTATTGGCCATCACCACGACCGTTCCCAATATAATGGTCATGCTTTACGAGTGAGACGTCCCCTTCTATTGTAGTAGAGAGTCCCCTAGAATGTCCTTTTGGTCAAGCCGATCATAAACACTAGCTCGCAATACATGTTTGCTATCATTTTAGTGATTATGGGCTACATCGAACACAATTCTAGACTAATAAAAAAATTCCAGCCCGTGTTCAGGAACAAGCAAGTTTCTGTGCTCTATCCTTATTTCGTAACATCGAGTTAACTTTACTCCCATAGCCACCTCATATGAAAGAGATTCTTTAGGGAATATAGTGTTAGTGAACGACTAGGTGTTCTGTCGCTGTCGCGCGATGTTCTACAATTTTACTGAGGCGCTAACACAAGGCGTGTTTGTCTATTTGGTGTCGTAAGGAAAATCATTTGCGTAAATAGCTTGTCTGAGTTTGTTTTGGATTATTTCAGGAATTCTGAAAGCTAGTTTTTCAAATGTAAATGATCATCTCTTTCACGGAGTATCAGAAATTGTTAAAATGGTTTATTCATTTGTGATGTTTATCTGTAGGTTGTGAACAGTAAACAATGTTTATACGAATATTCATCAAGATTAGAACGAATAGTTTGACAGTAATTGAGCTCCGAGTATAGAGAAGTCATTATATTTGAAATATTCTCAGCGATTGAAATTTAAATAATTTCGACGTTTCGTCCAGCTAACTTGTCTGGACTTCAGGGTAATCAAAATTATTAAAGATATATATAGCTTTTTAAACAATTAGGATTATACTGCTAAACCAATCATATTTGGACGTTGATTTTTTGTAAAATAGGATAAAATGAGTCAGTCAACTACAAATCATGCCTTTGGTAATTTTAATTCTGACTATCACCGAAGAAGTTCAGACAAGTTAGCTGGAGGAAACGTTGGAATTAGTTAAATTTCAATCGCTGAGAATATCTCAAATATAATTTTCACATATAGTAAACAATGTGTTCAAAGCCACCAAAACATTGACATAAAGTGAAATTCAAACTTTGTTTTCTCATAAACAACAATCGGTTTAATAATGGATATCACTCCATTTTATGAGGTCAGACTCGGGTTATGTGATCCTTTGTAATTTTTATTCAAACGTAATTGGAGAACATGCAATGGTTGTGCTGGACATTGAGTTTTATTTAATAAGGAGGTTAATAGACGTAATCTCAACACTCTAAACACCTCGTAGTTACTCATTTGGTGTGAAATTAGTCGAAATTCGTTCATAATGCTTAATCACTGGGAGGACTACTGCTATTTAATTTCATTGTACAGTTCTTTTACTTTGGAAAGAGTTTTCCAGTTGCTATTCGATTCAAACTTATACCATTGATAGATTTCACGAGTTTGTAATATTATATCAGTATCCTATCTAATAAGTACTTGTGCAGTAATGTTGATTTTCTTCGAAAATTTGTAGGGTATTCGTGGACACAGTTTGTTCTACGGTAGATACTGAATTCGAAATGTCACTTTATAATCAATAAAAAAATATGAAGAACGTGTTTTGGGTAAATAACATTGCCCTGTGAGACAGAAAATAATGTCTGAATAATTTTTTGAAGTAAATATGAGAGTGGACAAGAGACTTTAGGTACTGGAAAACGTTTGTCGTGAAACCACCACAAACTTTTAATGAGTTTATATTGTACTTCGATCAGTTGAAGTCGTGATGAAGCGAGATACTCGCACGTTCGGGAAAAATTTAGAAATTCTAAGGTGTATTACAAAGAAATTTCCCTCTATAGTTGTTAGTTGAACAGTCAGCCATATCAATGGAACATTAGTTTGATAATGGATTTATTGAATACTTTCTCACACTCAGCCTATTGGAAGGATAACATGTTAGATGCTCGATACGCGTAGGGCCATGTGGTGTTTGTATGATCTAATGATCCTTCTGTGCTTGTTGACTGCTTGATTTAGAATTCCGAGTACAATACTTCTGTTTGTGCTCATCTAATACTTCTTTAAATTGCGTTATTTCTTGGATTCTTAGATTATTCTATGATTCAGGTACTCCCAATAATCACAGACCACCAAAATGTGGAATCTTAGGGCCATAGACATTGATACGGAAACCACTTCAGCACGTCTCATGACAGGCGGTTATGAAGGATGAAACATGTCATAAATATTCTATTCCTGACAACGTTGTCATCTACAACATATTTATAATAGAGGATCCGAAACACAGTCAAATAAGAAGTCAAGAATGAAAGAGTTCGAAGACTCATTTGAAATACAAGCGTGTTATCAAGATGTAAGTGGTTTACTAGTTGCAAGTGTTGCATAACACATAAAATCTTTGATTGTGTCCCATAAAACTTATAAGGTTAGCATTAGTACGAAACTATCCATATCAGGAATTTACCGCAACAATTATCACGTGACTCTTCTCGGACAGCTTTCTCTGTACTTATTTGCTAGAGGCGATTAGTTTTTTAAAACCGTCTTCGTAGACCTAATACTTTTGGTGGCTCAAGGTCGACTCTCTTGATGATAGGCAATGACAAGACAAAGACAAAAGGCAATTTCCTTGGTAATTATTTGATTCGCTAGCTTATTGTGGACTTGAAATATCTTCAGAAGAAGAGTTATAGTAAGTACATTACTTGTAAAAAAATAGATGCACCTAAAAGCATCGGGGTTTTTTTATTCGCTTGGAAGTGCCGGATAAGCTACATACCTGACTGATGGACGTTGCTGTCCACGCCAACAAAATACTGAATTTCACCACTATCCGTTGTTTGTTCACGAAAAGACATGGCACTTCGTTTTCTACAAATTTATCTCTCTGTTAAGACCATGTAAGTGACTAGCTGAACCAATTAGAAAAGCTATGGCACAAACTTTCTTTGTAAGCTGTGGAGACGATATGGTGAAAACAATCATCGTAATAGGACCCCTTTAATGTACTGCTCTGCATATGAGTATGGTATTGTGGTTGAAGAAACTTCGGTTAAATGTCACCCTGACGGATTCATGGGAGAATTGATCAAGTAGATACAGTTTAACTTCGTGTACCTTATGTCGTTTAAACTTGAGACTATCAACAAAAGCACGAATATGCCTTTCTGAAGTTTGGTTTTATCGGGTTATTAAAAAAATTTTTGTCGAGGACAAAGACCAACCGACTACGAAAGCGTAATTTTGTGGACTAATTGTGTATAAGTACATTTATCTTTGTTACTATAATAATACACTTAGTCCGAAAAGTGCAGATATGTTGTGATGCGACCACCTAATCTATAAAACCTTTATTAGAAGTCACATTGTGGTCTACACTGACTTGTCCTATCGTGACAACGAGCAATAATACGTCTAGTACTTTTGAAGAACACATTCGTGCTGGGTATAGAGTAATTTGTTCAAAACACAAAGCAATATGTTATGCAGAGTGACCACGCCTGCATGACCAAAACATGTTATTTCGGCTCAACGTTGAGACTTTCAGCATTCTTGATCCTCTCAAAGTGTTGCGTGTTCAATGTAAATCATCTCAGAAATTATATACAAAGTTTCAAACATTGTATGTTTAGGAACAAATAACATTAGAAAAAAATATTAGTTTAGTTCAAACCTGATGCTGGCAAGTACGGTAAAATCTTCAGTCGTGTAGTTGAAGCGTTTCCTACGACACTACGTTCAAACAATAACAAGGCTCCTGAGATGTGAGACAATTTCACTATATCCGACAGTAGTTTAAGTGTTGATTTATGATGTACAGGAAACTCATAAATAATTTTAGACCGAGATAGTCTTTTTCATTCATTCAACCCATGTTAGAAAAACCTGTAAGAAGCAGGAGACAAACTCAAATGCCTAAAGTCAACAATAACCTCTTGTAGTATAGGTTTACACACTGTATAATTAACACTTGAAATATAATACAGGAAGTTTGTCTGCATTTTTAACTACTTCATTTTGGTTTAGTGGAATCTAAGAAAATAAAAAATATGATAGTTTTCTATTCAAAGCCTAGATCTATGTGGATATTGTTTTGATATACCAATAATGTCAGCGGCTTTTCGAACCTCTCTGTTTGCTGTTAAGGTTGGTCGGAAATGGGTCAGCTGCACAAGCTGGATAATAGGATACAGATAATGCTTAAAAATGGCATTCTTCGGAAACATAGGTCGATGTTTGTCATGGTTGGGAATAAAGGCCAGGATCAGGTAGCCAAAATTAAATTCAATAATTAAATGTATCCTCGTGTGTAGGTCCCCATAATGCACCAGATTTTAAATTCTCTCTCAAGTAAAGGACGGCTCAGCATTTTGTGGTGCTACAAAAAGGAGTTGAGTTTTAGCACGTAAGCCTTATTTTTCATTCTCATGTTCTTAGTCACCGCAAGAAGAACCTCAAACTTTTGAGGTATGTTGTCTACAAATAAATTCCAATGTGTTTAGCAAAAGGCGGAAAGCAGGGTTGACATCTGATGCTACAATTTTCGAGCAATTTGTATGCTCGACAGATATACGTTGGTGCTATTACGACGAGTCACATAAAATTCTTGGACAAACATTCGATATGTGTGTGCTTCAAGATTTCGAAGCTCTGACACCAAACTTACTTGCCCGGACTATTGAAACTGTTTCTGGTGGAGGTCTCATAGTTTTCTTGTTAAAATCTATGACTTCTTTACAACAGCTTTGCACTATGGCTATGGTATGGTGTTCTTCGTTCTATACTTTATTTTTCAGGATATCCATTCTCGATATCGCACTGAATCCCAGCACAATGTTGTCGGACGATTTAACGAAAGGTTTTTGCTATCATTGGCTAGTAACCCTCGATGTCTTGTATTAGACGATCGATGGAATATCCTACCACTGTCCCGGAAAGTTCTCAGTTCACTAACGACATCGCAGGCTGATATAAGTGATGAGTCTATTCTTCTAGAACAGAAGGAACTCCAAAAGCTTAAGGTAATGTCATTAAAGTTAAAATGCCACTTTAGACTGATCAGATCGTGAATAGTGACATTCAGTATTCTTTAAATTCATATTTTCGACTATTTACTTCATTTTATATGCAATATTAATTTTCATTATTCCAATTTTATTTTTATTTGAACACATAAATATTGGTACAAGAGGGCACCAAATATGTATGCGCCACACATTTTCATTATCATTATATTTGTGTGTGGCCTGTGATACTGTCCGGGTGCCCAGACCGAAGCAGGATTATTCCAGTAAGTTATAACCCACAACGTAGTACAACATCCATTCTAGTTAACACGCAATCTTTCAATCAGTCAGGTATCTGTCCATTGCTTGGCACATATTGATTTCATAGGACAGAAAAACTATACTAATGACTTGTTTAATAATCACTTGTACAGTTCTTTAATCGTTATTTAGAACTTGTTCAGTTGATTACTTGGTTTTATTCACTGTCATGTGATTCTTTTGAGTCTAGTTATAGTGACGTACGTATATAAATGTAACCCGTTTGCACGATATTTTGAATTGCAAGTTACCCAATATAATGCAGTAGCAATCATGAAAAGAAGGGCTGAATCTTAGGAATATGGTTTTAAACGACAGAGCGGGAAGTTATACGCATAAGATTGCTTAGATTCAAAACTGAAAAGATATACAATTAACAAATTTATGTTGATGTGGACGATTCCCAGCCATGTCAGCTAAGGTCTTAAAACACTGGTTGAGTTTACCACATTGATCTCAACCGAGTAGTCGGGATCTACTGGTAGTGAACAGCAAATTCATTGTTGATATTTATCTGAAAGATGTACTGAGCGTAAAAAACTGGTTATTACCTACTATTCCGATTGCAATAAGCACTATTAAAATGTTAGAATTTCGAATACCTGTCTATTCGGTATATGGAATGATGACTCAGGTGACTAGATAATCTATTGTTCCATCTAAGATTCTACAACCAAGTGACAATAAAAAGTGGAGAAATCACGGCATGTTTTATCAAAGAAATGGAATACGTAATATTTAAAAAAACGGTCCTAAATTACATAACATATGGTCGGTTCCTGTCCAATGACATCTTAGGATTATATGACTTTAGAATCTCCAATATTTCCTGTTTTTCTATGTACTATACAATCAACATGTAATCGAATTATATTCCAAATGCACAGATTCATGAAGTCACTGACAAGTGGACTGAGCCATGTTGGTTTATTTATTTGAACACAAATATTGGCACAAGGGGGGCACCAAATATATGTGCACCACACAAAACAATGAGAATGGGAAGAGAAAAAGAAGGTATGGTGCGTATAAGGAAAAAAAGAACAATAACGACCACAGATTAGTGTAAGGTAGTATAATAATAATAAGGTACAACCAGAATCCTTCCAGTTAAGGAAGATACAACCACTTTTTATGGAGAAAGTAAAAGAAGGTTACAGCAGGATCGCCATTGGCTTCTACTATGAGCCATATCTGATAACGTCTCTAGCCACTGTGTCTCATCATCTCTCGGACCCCAGCCAGGGAGTCGTGAAGGACCAACACAAGCCAGTCCTTTGCAGCTTTCTTTCATACCACGACACCATGTCACACACTGACCACCTCTCCGCTTCTTCCAACCAGTCCCAGAGTCGGCAAATAATGCACGACGTGGAATTCTCTGGGACGACATTCGGAGAACATGTCCAAGCCACCGAAGTCGGTGTTTCAAGATGGTGACACCAATTGCATTATCATCTCTGTGCCCGAACACACGATGCCGAACCTCTGCATTACTGACATGGTGTTGCCACTGAATGTCAGCAATCCTTCGGAGACAGCGATGATCGAACACAGAGAGTCGTCTAACGTCCTCAACTCGGAGAGGCCAGGTTTCACAAGCATAGAGCAAAACTGCTCTCACCGACGCGTTGTAGATCCGACCTTTTACAGCCAGACTAACATCACGAAGGCGCCAAAGGTGGCCCAGATTGGCATAAGCCGCTCTGGCTTTCACTATTCGTGCATTGATCTCATCACTCACACCCCCACCAGCACTTATGCAGCTACCCAGATACACGAACTTCTCAACTACGTCTATCTGCTCACCATCCAGGGTGAGTACAGGATTAGAATCCTGCCAGTCTTGTAGAAGTACTTTGCACTTCGAAGGTGCAAAGCACATACCATACCTACGGACACTGATTGCCAACTGATTAAGTGCGGATTGCATGCCTTGGGCATTATCGCACAGTAAGACAATATCGTCCGCATACTCAAGGTCGAGAAGTCTTTCTCCAGGCAACAGATCCACACCACCATTACTTACATTCATCAGAGCTGTTTCCAGAATGTCATCGATGGCAAAGTTGAAGAGGAATGGTGAGATTGGGCAACCCTGCCTAACCCCACTGCTCGAATGGAACAATGGAGAGAGGTGGTTGTATGCCCTCACTCTGCCTGAGGTGTTTTTATATAGGGCCTTTAGGATGTTAATAAACTTCTCAGGCACACCCTTCTTCAATAGACAATCCCAGAGAACAGTCCTGTCCAACGAATCGAAGGCAGCCCTGATGTCAAGAAACACTACGATTGTTGGCCTTTGATAAGTATGGCGGTGTTCTAACATTTGGCGGAGGGTGAAGATATGATCAATACATCCTCGACCAGAACGAAACCCAGCCTGCTCCTCGCGAGTCAATCTTTCTCGGGTTTTGAACAACCTACGAAGAATGACGGAAGCCAATAGCTTGGACGCAATCGGAAGTAAACTTATCCCCCGATAGTTGTTACAGGAACGACGTGAACCCTTTTTAAAGATAGGGACAACTATCGACTCATTCCATGACGTTGGTACACACTCTAGTTCCCAAACCTTTGTAAACAACGTCGTCAATTCCTTAGTCAAAAAGTCACCACCATCTTTAAAAAGAGCCGGAGGTAAGTCATCTGGGCCAGGTGATTTGTAACGCTTCAAGAGTTGGAGTTCCTTGCGGACTTCCTCCTCATTTGGTGGATCAGTCGTCACCGGCCATGGAGGGCAGGACAGTCTGACCGATGTTGCCGGAGCAGCAGGCCAGTTGAACTGCCCTTCGAAAAATTCTGCCCATCGTCCAAGACGTCGATGGATGTTAGTGATTGGCATCCCATCATCCTCGCAGATTGTTTCACTCACACCAGACTTCTTGCTGCCAGTGGCTCGGATGAGTTGGAAGAGCTTCCGGTAGTTACCAGATGCAGCTGCTGCTTCCAGCTCATTAGCACGCTCCGACCACCAGGCTTCTCGGTCCTTACGCAAGCTTTGCCCGATTTTATTACGTAACAGCCTTTGTTTATGATCAAACTCACGGTCACCCGGAGTAGACCGACGAGCTTCGATGAGTTGTAAGGAGCCTGAAGAAACCCAGTGCTCCAGTACCCTGAGGGAACATATGGCGTATAAACCAGTTTTTGGTCACCAGCTACCAGTAGACTGCATCTCCTCACGATGCTCTACTGCCTTGTGGGTCAGACATTTAGGTCAAAGGCTCGGGGTGTGACTCTAAGAAAACCGCTTGCTTCGATGTGGGTTCCCGGACAGTATCACAGCTCACACACAAATAAAATGAAAATGACGACATTTACTGAAAATTCTGTTCATGCCATGTTGGTATGTGTAGGATCCCTGGTTGGGGTCCGCGAGACGATAGTATCTAATGATTCGGCACCTTGAATTACATGGCTCAAAATCGTTAACAATCGCGCATGTGCATTCACCCGTTGTATTCTCCCAAATTCTAATCTGAATTCTTCATTTCCCTTTTTTTCTTTCCAAATTTGTCTCACTGGATTATACTCCATGAATAACATCTTCAAACCCTAATCTTTCTGATTACTGCTTATACTTTTACCACCTCTACCACTACGGGATTTGAATCGACAATTGTATTTGTGTGTTAATGTGGTATGGCAACTCGGAATGATGTACGTACGTACGAAGTTCTACGTTGTTACTGACTGACTGACTCCAAATGTTGTTGGTTATGATTTTAGGTTTATTCTAATTAATTTATCAACCCTAAGCAACTGTACAATAGATTCATTAATGCATTAGATTGTCTATATCTTTCCTTGTATGTCTTTCAATTTTCTTAGCTTCTCTTATTCATTTGAAATGATTTTAAATGAAAAGCTTAACCAAACCTACAGTGGTTGGTTTGCGACTGTTACGAGTTCTACGTTATTCATGAACATAGTATTGTCTATCTACGTATTTTGGAATGGTTGATATAGGTGCATCATTTCAAAGTTTTTTTTCCATGATTTCTGTTATTTGTTTCCAGGTCTCTTTAGCTGAAGATGGCTCACCATTTGCTCCTTTAATAAAGTTGTGTATCACATTTGACCAGGCTAAAAGTCTTGTCCAATTCTGTGCTTCTTTGGCTTCAGCTTCGCAGTTACAAAATAAGGGGTGCAATAAAAATACTCAGGATACCACCTCCCTGGCTACAGCAAACTCTCTTCTTTCTTCGATCGGAGCTGGAACTAAGGAAACTAGTAGCTCATCAGCCTTTGTTGTTGTAACCTCCGGTAGAGGCCGGGGTAAATCTGCAGCATTGGGACTTGGATTAGCTGCTGCTTTTGAAACTGGTTTGCCTAACTTGTATGTTACTGCACCCAGTCCGGAAAACCTAAATACACTTATGCAGTTTGTTGTAAGTGGTTTAAATGCTTTTCAGTATGAAGAGCACCAGGATTATATTGTTAGTCGCTCAATGAATCCTGAACACAATCAAGCTACAGTTAGAATCGACGTTTACAGACGAAGCCACAGACAATCTCTTATCTATTTACCACCATGGGAAATGGCTGCCCTATCGAGTGTCAAACAAGCAGATCTAGTATGTATAGACGAAGCTGCTGCCATTCCACTACCTCTCGTACAATCCATTATCAGTGGTCCAAGAATTGTATTTATGGCATCTACTATTAATGGTTACGAAGGCACTGGTCGATCTTTATCCTTTAAACTGCTGCGTCAACTGCGATCACAATGCACCATTTCAGGAACTACAACAAAGTTGTCAACAGATAATGTAAAATCTAAGTCTGTTCAGTCGACGGGGAAAGACAAGATGTTATTGGGGAAAGGTTTTCGATCAGGTAAAATTTTTAAAGTATTGTTGTAATTCAACCCAGGTAATCGTTGCATGTTTATTTTATTCGTAAAAATCCTTAACGACTGATGAGACTGAAATGGTATTCAGCACTGTATATAATTCAGTACGACCCAAAATTAGCATTTCCTCAAAGTGATTTATCGTTTTGGATTACCAAACTATGAAGTAGTAAAATTGAGGCAACTGAAAAGGCTGTTGATAGCCAGAAAAAATGCGAAAGAAGGTGTTCGACTTGGATTTAAAGATTTCGATTACTTAGCTGGGTGGGTAATCAAATAGTTTGCTATCAAATGAATAGATTGCATAACCTGTAATCAATACGTCAACGATAATCCTAGTCGCGATAGATAAGTTAAAGGACTTGTGGAGAGAATGTATTGACAAAGGCTCCAGATACACTTTGTATTTTTTTTTTCAATAGTTTGTTTTGTCTGTAAATGGGTGTTTTGGACATATTCCCTCTGTTATTTATTCGAAATTCTGCAGAGTACACAAAGTTTACTAAAGAGTCATCTGTCTAATTTCGCTTATTGACAACCATTTATGTCTTCAGAGTGATTTGAAACTTAGATAAACCAATCACGTTTATGTATGTGTTTACTTCACACATTCGTCTTAATTTAGAATACCCCTCCTTATCCCTTAGTTATCAAAAGTGACTTTGTTCCAATAGCTATAATATCGTATCATTCTTCGTTTAGGTTACTTACTTACGCCTGTTAACCCTCTTAGAGCAGAATAGGCTGTCCACCAGCACTCTTCATCTAAACTTGTCCTCGGTAATCCTTTCCAGTTGCTAGTCATATTTTTCATGTCTGCTGCCGGTTCTATTCACGGTGTGTTCTTTGGCCTTCCTCTTTTCCGCTTCCCTTCAGGATTCCAAGTTAGCGCTTGTCACATGATGCAGTTTGATGATTTCCGCAATCTATGTCTTATCCACTTCCAACGCCTTTTCCAAATTTCCCCTTCAGTTGGGAGCTGGTTTGTTCTCTTCCAAAGTAGGCTGTTGCTAATGGTATCCGGTCAACGAACGAAGAATATCATGTGTAGAAAATTGTTTATAAATGCTTGTACATTTTTGATGATGGTAGTAGTGATCCTCCAAGTTTCAGCTCCCTAGAGTAAAACTGTCTCGACTTTCGTTTGAAGAATCTGACTTTGATATTGGTTGACAATTGTTTTGAGTTCCACACGTTCTTCAACTGTAGGAATGCTGTCCTTGCTTTGCCAATCCTCTTCTTTACGTCTGTATCCGATCCTCCTGGTTCATCGGTAATGTTGTCCAGAGCCTCTCCATCAAGTGTGACTGGTTTGGTGTTCTCCTTGTTGGATTTGAGTATCTTGGTTTTTCCTTTGTGTATGTTGAGGCCTACTGATGCAGAGGCTTCTGTTACAGTGGTTGTCTTGGCCTGGATTTGTTAGTGTTTATGAGATAGAAGGGCTAGGTGGTCTGCGAAGCCTAAATCGTCGAGTTGCATGCAAGCTGTCTATTGTGTTCCGTCTTCGTTCTGATGGGATTATGGTTACTAACCTCATTGATCTGAATTCGTGATATACTTTGTTAGGTCTTATGTAGTTGAGGGTAGTTGTAAGAAAATCCCAAGTGGTTTTCTCTAGCTATCCGCTCTTTGTTTAATGAATTCCTTTACTCATTACCCTAATGGTTTTACTAATTTTTGTAAATCCTTTTTACCGTCGTCAAGTATGTCCGCTTAGTGACACACTTCATAGCATGTTTTGTTTTGTCGAATGCTAGATTAATTCAGTATTTAGGTATTGCATTCGATTGATAAGTGTTTTGTTGTTAATTAATTTAGTGGCTGCTCTTACATTGTATTTTAATTTATTTGAGAGTCACTATCTTATTCACTTACATAACCCATTCAACGATATAACTTTTGAAGTTGGCCTCATCTACAAAAATGAAAAAACAACCATTTTTTATGGTAATCTTTAAGCAGAAAATCTTTGCCAACCAAGATTTTAGGTGATTGATTTATTAGCAGTTTGGATAATGTGATGACAATACGAAGATTATCAGTATTATGCGATATATTTCGAACAATCTGATCACACATATACTTGTTAAGGCATTGTATGCGAAAAATCTAAAGTCAACTAAACAAATTAGAAGATAAACGGAAACAGAAATAATAGTAAAATACACAGTATGAAAACTAAGCAGAATAATGGATCAGTATTACCAGAGTAGAAACAAATTGTATATATATATATATATATATATATATATATATATATATATATATATATATATATATATATATATATATATATATAGTGTGGTTCAGTTTTTGTATAGCCAAGGCTTGAATAAACCTTAGTATACGCCCTTGAAAACTCTTGTACAAACTACAAAGGATGACTTGATATCAACCTTTGGCATTGCCGAAATATATCACATAATTCTATTAACGTTCGTCTTCTCATTGCATTATCCAAATTTATCAGGTGGATTACTCATTCTAAATTTTATTATCAATAGTTGGGAATTTCATACTCGGCAAGTGAACAGGGGTCCATAACGTACCAGTTGTATAATATGTTTTGCACTAACTTCGGAGCAATATTTAGTCTGTTTTTAATCTGGATCATAATTTCTAAACCGTTTTACTGTTTACTTCTTTTACAGTTGATACTTCACGGGTTTTATTTGAAGTATCTCTCACTGAAGCTATTCGTTATGCTAGTGGCGATCCAATCGAAGCTTGGTTATTTGACTTATTGTGTTTGGATTGTGGAGAGTCTCTGTCTCGTGAAAAACAAGCTAATGAAGTCAATATTTATCTTCCTCCTGTTGATCAATGCCAGTTGTATTATGTTAATAGGGATACTTTGTTTTCATATCACAAGTCAACGGAAATATTTTTACATAGACTGATGGCTCTTTATGTTTCGTCACATTATAAAAATTCTCCAAATGATTTACAACTACTTTCAGATGCACCTGCTCATCATATATTTTGTCTTCTTGCTCCATATGATCATAAATCTGGCTGTGTACCAGAGGTTCTTTGTGTGCTGCAAGTTTCTTTAGAGGGGAAAATAAACAAGGATCGAGTGATGCATAACCTTTCTCGTGGTTTACGTCCTTCTGGTGATTTGATCCCTTGGACATTGTCTCAACAGGTATTCTTCCATTAAGTATAAGATTATATCAGTTTTCTCTATATGGTGGATGCATGAAAAGTAGTGATTTGACCTTTTCTTCCAAAGACGTTTGTTTTTTCGGATGATAATATAAGTAGAGTAAAATCGTTCACTAGCTCCACTTCCAGCTTTACTTTTGCCTATAAAAACATTCTGTAGCGCAGACGTTTTTTATATTTGTCATCATCGTAACATTAATTCAGAAAATTGTATAAAGTAATTTGAACTGTAAGTTGTTTGGCCGTGAAGTGATAAAATCGAGTTATGTATGTCTCAATTTCTGTGTCTATCGATTGGAGGAAGGTAATCAAGATCGGTCAAACTGTTATTAACTGAAGGGTAACATAATAGTGAAAGGATTTGATTTGTAGCTAATAGGTCGCGGTTCGGAATAGATATTCTTAGTAGCTGGTGCTGACCGAAGCTTGAAATATCAGACTTTATTTGGTTAATGAGCTTTATTCTTCATTTTTCAGTTAATGGTGTGCATAATATACCAGTGGATCAATCAGTAGCCTAAGTTTTTTATGGCTTTTGTGTTCCTTAAACTAGGAGATTAAACAAGTCAACGTGTTTCTCAAATTTTATTAGCATCTGCTTATAAGTAAATAAATTTTCAATTTAGTTATTGTGTCAGTTACGTAGGTTATATTCGAATCCCCTTTGTGTTTTTTTACGGGCTGAGCTCAGTGTCTCTAATCCTTTTTAGTTCTAACTAGAAAAATTTTAGGTAGTGTAGTTGTAGTTTGTTTTAGAGCATAAATAAATTGTGTCGATTCCTTTAAATAAGAAAGAAAGATTAGTTCAGCAAAGAGTTCTCTTTTCGGCGAATTCATTTTCAAAGCTGTACAATCGCAAATATATATACTTATTTTTACAGGGTGATAATAATACTGATAATAAACTTCTGTTATACATGGTGACAGTGAGGTTAAATAAACAAAGGTATGAGAAAAAAAAATTTTTAAAACAAGGAAAGTTTGGTAGTTAATGGCTTAAGTATTCATCGGGTAAGGATGGCTCAGCATGATAAAATAACACAAAATGTTGAAACAGAGATGAAATGTAATCGGAATGATCGTGGAAATAAAAACAAACCGGTTGGGGGTAGAAGATTTGAAGGGAAGATGGAAGGTGAAGCAGGTGGCTGTAAAGGAACAAGAGTATGAAGAAAGAGAAAATTTTTTTAATAAATTAAGACCATGGTAAAAGAAGAGGTTGTATCAGTCTCTTTTGTACACATAATTCTGGTTTTTCAAAATGTATGGCTATTGCCTCGGCAATGCAAAGAAGATGCAGTCTAATTGTCTTAGGAAGGCTTCTACTTACCTTGTAGATGACTTTGAACGCAGAGTCTGTCTTGATTGTGTGACCTGTGTTCACAAGGTGTTCGATTATAGAACTTCTTATTGAGCCGTTGCCTCCTCTTCTTAGCCACGCCGGACAATGTTCTTGAATTCTTTTGGATAAAGTACGCATCGAACGACCTATATACCTAGCTCCACAAGAGCAGGTAAGTCGATTCCTTTAATTCAGAAGTTCAATTATATGCATTTGATTATTCCATGCAGTGTGTTTGTCTCAATTAATTACTGTACTTGATTGATCCTTTGTTTCATAGTTCTGTGATGCTAACTTTGGTGAATTATCTGGTGTTCGTGTAGTACGAATAGCTACTCATCCTGATTATCAAGGTCTTGGTTATGGGACAAGAGCGTTGAAACTCTTATATGACTATTACAACGAGCAAACGGTAAGAGCTTTCATTATATGAATGAGAGGCTTCGCGCTCTATTAATTACTGACCATAAATTGTTTGCTTTCCCTTTTTAGGATATTAAAGTTCTTTCAGAAAATCAGCATACTGACATCCAAACTGAAAATGTTGGCTGCAATCGTTCTACCAAAGAGACTAAAAGCTTGAACCAAACATCCAATAAATCTTTAAAATTCAAACCTTCAACCTTAAGTTTTAACTGTGATTTAGATGAAGAGAACTATGACAATCAGGATGACTCAGATGCTAGTTTGGAATCTAATAATACAAGATTATCTGAAAATAATTCAAATCTTCTCACAGAAATAATCAAACGGCGTGAACCTACGAGTCTGCCCCCTTTACTTAGTCGTCTTATTGAACGTCCTTCTGAGAAACTTGATTACATTGGTGTTTCTTTCGGTGCTACTCCCAGCTTGTTAAGATTTTGGAAACGATCAGGTTACATCCCAGTCTATCTTCGTCAAAATATGGTGAGAGTTTTCTAATGGCCAATTTGTGGTCATTTTTCGGTTATGTTGAGAATGCTACTTTGACTTCTGTGCGATTATTATATGTCAGTGCGAATCGGAAACTGAAAAATGCTATTCTTATGGATGTAGTATATACAAACAGGTTTTTGTAGTGGAGCTAATAGATTCTCATGTGATAACTTGATTCAAATTAGTACTTCAATGTCGACTAATTACAAATAACAAGATTTAAGACGGTAGCAGACTAGTTCACATTACCATCTTTCGTAACGACACCGAAGAATAATCGAGTGCAGGCTGATGCGAGATATTATAATGCTTAATATTTTGGCTAGATCAATAATAAATATATATACTCTGCAAAAATCAGTTTCGTGCTGCACAAAATATTCTCATGTCTAACTAATATGTAGTATCCCTCCACATAATTAAAGTATACTAACGTACATCATGTATTCTCTTCTACTTGATGATAATATAATTTTGACTCTATGGTTAGCACTTTTCTTTATATAATGTTACACGTCGCATTTTAATGTATAAATAAATCTTTCATTATGACAACAGAATGTACAAGTGCACATTTTTCTATTATGATTCCCCTCTGACGATAGTAGAAATAGACACCTAACTCCAGTAAAAATGTTAGTTCCTCTAATAACCAAGTTAAGTCACTTGTATATAATCTTTTTGTGACGTTGAATCTGAAGATATTTTCTGTAATAAATGTGATCTTTGTGGCTGTATACACAATTCAAAGTACTGATTCAAAATTGTCCTTTAGCTTGTTTTCACTTGTGCTTATGAAATTAAGTGTATCCATACGTACCTGTAAGTGGTTTTTTATACCTAAATGTCAAAACTATAATTTATGTGGTGTATATAACTATCTTATATACTGATAATAAATCATAAAATGTGATCGAGGGCGTTGATCATTACTGCGAATAGTAAACGATATTCACATGTACCAAACTAATGTTTTTCAATACATGCATAGAACACTTGTGTATAATTTTGTTATTAGGTTTTGCTTATCAGGCAGATTAATTCCATGTGGTTCCATTGTTGTCTTCAAGTTTGGTCTGTTTGTTTTCACTATTTTTGCATTGAAGACAAACTATAGTTGTTCAGTAGTAATGGGTGCATCAAATAATTATTGCCTACTTTCATGCTTCTGTTGTTGCCTTTGAAATATTGACAGCTTATTAAGCATTCCTATCACTGGTAGTAGGTGCGTAAATCTTGAAGATTCCTATGGAATTTACTAGATTTACAATATCTCTTACTTTTAGTAATTTGATGTTAGTTAGTTATTTTATGACAAATATTATTACATGTCCGAATGCAACATCTTGGAATTACTTGACATTTTTGTTTGTTTTTAATTCTAAAGAATGAGCTGACAGGGGAATTTACATGCATAATGGTGAAACCATTTAAGCATCAAAGTGTCTCGTCGCAATCGGCAGAATGGCTTCAGAATTACTTTTATGGTTAGTTCTTGACCGTATTCATTTATATATCATTGTCAGCTGTCTGTTTTCTTCCTTGTATTGTTGTTTGCTGAATATCTTTTTTATCAAGGTAATGAATTAGATAGACAGAGATACTCCTAAATCAATTGTGTTTATATTTAGTCACAAAAAGAATAAGGACTGTCAAAAATATGCATTTTCAAAACGCCTCTCTTAATGTTAGCCCAGTAATGGGTAACTGATGAGGTCAGAATCAAGGAGTGAAATGTTCTTAACTTATAGTTAGATGACACTGGTCAAAATTCACCTGACACGGATGCACTAAGTTTTTAGCGTATTATTACTCCATTCACTTCATTTAAGTATTAAATTTGGTCCTTGTAAATTAGATTTTTTACCCGTAACAGCACAAGAGATTTTTTATTGTCAGTTGATTATTACCGTTGGTATCATTATTTTCACTCTTTTACTTTTCATGTTGATTACTCTGCTGTTTTTATGTAAGTTGTGGCAACTTGAAATGATACACTTTTGGGATAGTTTCTACATTCTTAAATGACCGATTGACTATATTCAACGTGTAAAATTGCGTTCTAATGAACAGCATAAGTTTTCCTAACAATACAGTGATGTGTTCAATTTCGCCTGCTTGTTTCTCTCTTCGTTATAAAAGTGTTTTACTCTGCATAAATTTCGCTCGGCAGTTATGTTGTTAATGGTACTAGAGTAACTACTTCAAAGATGACTTTTTCATACTCTACGTCAATTCCTGCAAACATTTCCCTTTATTCACTTTCTGAAATGTACGTTTAACTTTAGGAATTAAAGTGTAGCAAAAGTTATCGACGTAATTCATTTTAAGACGATCTTTTACAGTTGGTGTATAGTCTATTTTAACTGTATTATTCCTGTTTACCATATGCTTAATGTCCAAATTAATTATACCTTGGCTAATATTCTACCTTTCATAAACACTACTAATGTAATTAATAATTATTATTTTATATTTTATACAGATTTTACCAAACGTTTAATACATCTTTTCCCTGGACCATTTAGACATATGGATGGAACTTACGGTCTTGAACTCCTTAGTCATAAATCAATGGATACTGCAATATCTAATGGTAATTTGTTAAAATTGTTAAGTTTTTCAACTTCATCTAGTTTACATGCCCTAAAATTCTTCTAATCCCTTAAAACTAGTCCATATATATTCATTTGATGTTAGGTTCCCATGTTTGATAAGTAGAGTTTGTCGCCATAAGTGATAACAGGCCTAGGATCTCCAAAACGGCCATATTATTTTAAATAAATTGTAATAATGAAAACATAGTGACTAACCTTCAAAATATAAACCACATATTATGCAACTTTTCGCTTAGAAATCTATAAGAAACAACAGCATGTTGCTGTTCTGTCAATAATGTTGTACTAGATCTATTTTTTCGTTTATGACTGAATACATAAATTGGAGTACATACGAATGGTGTTGAAAATTAGATATTTTGTTTACATTCAAAAATTATGAATATGTAGTGCATATGCTAAACTACATCCTATTTAGACGTACAGAGGTGGCTGTAATGGGAGTAAATTGGAGGATAGTTAAGAGTAAACTAAATAGAGAAGTAGGATTTACTGCTAATTTAATCTGTGTTACTACGTGCAGACCGTTTAGTTGGAGTCTGCATGATAACTAGGATTAATACTCAAGTTATTTATTATCTCGTTTACCAGGTACATGATCGTGTCTTTGAACCACACTCCAAGTGTAAGAGATAGTATAACTACCTGATTGTCCACATACTAAGTGGAATGAGGTTCAAACTTGTGATTTATTAGCTGAGAGCCGAACTTCTTAACCTGTTACTCACTCCCCCACTCCATAATTATTCATAGCTGATGACCTTAAAGAATGATATGAAACCTATCGTTGTAATTCAGTTGTATACATACTTTTTATTCCCTTATTTCATTTATCTAGTATAATATATCGGTCTTTTTCGTTTAGCATTGCTACCTATACTATACTAATCTTGGTCGTTATTCGACACAAGTCATGTAATTACTTTCAGAATATATATAATTTGTTATCATTCCTTTCGAGCTACTTTTGTGTTTAGTTATACCATTATCCAACCTCCTTAAAGGTTCATTCACCAATGTTTTAACTTGAGCCGATACACATTCATACTAGGTCCTGTATGCGTTCTGACTAGCCATATTGACGTCTGTGAAACGTTTTATCTTTCAACTTAATGATGCCTATGTGAGTATCGTTGATTATATCAGTTCACCTTAATTCTAGAATTTTAGAAATTCCACTGCCGTATTATAAAATAAACAGTGATTGAATTTTTGATAGTTTTTAAGTTAATATAATTTTTTAACATGGGTCTTTCTTTCTCATCGATGTGTTCGCACTGTTGATTTTAACTCCATTCTCTTTGCCTTGTCGGTTGTTTACTTGAAGTAGATACGATTCGTCTTGATACATTACCCAGTCAATTGTACTCTTAACTTTCCAGTGTGGAGGACATATAATAAACCTGTCCATAAAGTTAGTTTTGGCTTAAAACCAACTTAAATTATCGAAATTAATCAAATACTTAGCTATATCGTTTATTCTAAATTTCATTTTTCCTATGAGTAGATTTTAAGTGTATATTATATTTTGATGGATCATTCTTATTTTATTTTATTTTATTTGATCACATAAATATTGGTACAAGGGGGCACCAAATACTTATGCACCACACAATGACAATGAGGATGGAAAGAGAGAAAAGAATGTAAGGTGCGTATAAGAAAGAAAAAAAGAGCACAATAGCGACCACAGATTAGTGTTTGGTTGCGTAATAATAATAATATTAATAATAATAATAATAATAATAATAATAATAGGGGAAACGGAAATGTACAACCAGAAAGAATTCTTTCAGTTAAGGAAGTTACAACCACTTTTATGAAGAAAGTAAAAGAACGTAACAGCACGATCGCCTTCGACTTCGTAATTCATAATAGCATTTGATCCAAACTGATGTAGATTTACTGTTATTTATATATACTTGTATGATGCTAATACAAGCACGACTTCGAAATATACTGGTAAAAAGTGTTTCATTGATTACTTCTTTTTCTATATTAGAGCTTACCCAATCAGAAATTAGCAGCTTATTTAATGCAATGGATTTAGAAAGGTTAAGGCGTTATAGCAGGTCACTTGTTGATTTCCATCTTGTCAACGATCTGTTACCTCGTTTAGCTCAGATTTATTTCCAAAGGCGTCTGCCAAATGTGCGTTTAAATAAAACTCAACAGGTAAACATAGTAATTTTATTAATTTAAATATAAATATATTTCTGACATTTTGCAACCTAGCGTGATGTGCTTCTCTGAATAAGCAATATCAGAAATCGCAAATTTCTACTCATTGGAACTTTACAAATGTACGGTTGTTCTATTATTAGCAATATAACCAGTACTTTTATTTGAAATTATCAAGTGAGACCTTGGTAGTGATAATTATAAATTCATAATAATTTTATGGATGATATGTAGTTCATATCATCACAAAACAATGGCAAAAGTGTCTTGCCACCTTATTATTCCTTATGTTAAACTAACTATTATGTGAACCGATGTACGCGTATACCAGGTCTTATGTTTTGCAGGATTGATTATTAAGTGGGGAGTGGCTTTATGGTAAAAGCGATCGCATTTTATTTGTACGATCTCAAGCCGAAATCGTGCTTAGATTGAGAGTTTAAGTAGTATTACAATCACTGGGTTTATTATTTTACTGAAATTTTTATGTTATAAACCGAATAATTAAAGCATCAACAACTCTCACATAACAAGTGTGGCTCGAAGCCGAGTACCTGAGTTTATACTGTATAGATATGTTACATATTAAAATTGTTTTTGAAGGTGTCTGAGTTCTCGTACAACGTATCCGGAAAACTAATTATTTCCTTTGGAAATTAATTTAATAACTTCCACTTTTACAAATATTATTGGATTTTACAAATATTATCGTAAACTAAGTGTGCATTAAATTAAGTTTCATTTTTTTAGCCAGCAACCTTACAACAATAAAACCTTTAAATAAACATATCCAAATATATGTCAATAGCTAGTGTACTCCTGGCTACCAAAATTGTGAATTATTATAGCAGTAGGGACGTTTTGTTTTCATATCATTTTCTCGGAAAAAAACTGATATTCGACGAGCGTGTTTGGTTTTATTCGTCAGTAATAAACGCAACGGATTGTGTTAGCCCATCAAAGAATAAAAGATAACGAAAACTGATCTATGTGTAGTAATTTGCTCTTGCTGTTGGTGGAATATTGTTTTGGTCCACTCTTATAATCATCAACCTACCCACTTCTGATATATGTGAAGAATGTAATTGTACATTGTTTTATTACAATCACATGATGAAGCTTTGTTTTTATTTATTCATGTATATACTATGTCAGTTGTCTAACATTTTATCCATGTAGGTTATCCTATTATGTATGGGTTTACAACATAAAACGGTGGAACAAATATCCAGTGAATTTAGTCGTTTACTTGGTGATTCTACTCGTCCTCAAATTCGAGTTTCTGGACTTGCACGACCTGATGATGCTGTATATTCAATACTAAATTCTCTCAAAGAAAGGTGCGACCCATCTGGATCTACATCTAGCATCGATTCTTTTGGTCATAAAAAGAAGGGACCAGATACTGGTGTTAATTCAGGTTGGACTAAGTGTATTCTTGGTCTTCTGTTTGTTATTGTTCGTGAGCATATCAAGTCGTTAGACTCAATACTTGCATCTGAGAGAAAATGTGGGATAGAATCAAAGAAAAATACTGTCGATGGACAATTGCAGCCAGTCATCGATGTGGATCTGAAAGTAAGTGTTCGTACTGTAAAGCCTAAACTAAGCTAGTTCTAAGCCATATTCAAGTATTTTGAGATATCGAATCTATCAAATGTTTCTGATTTTAAAGTATATATTTTTCTCGGTACTTACTGTTTATTATTATAGGTGGATAACGTTCTGTTTTTAATTTCTTTATAAATGCACTGAATGTGTACCATAATTTGTATTTTCGTCACATTTGAATTTTTCTAGGACGGAAATTATGCCGCGCTTAGAGTAGATGAAAATACTTTATCAGAGTCTGACGAAGACAAGTCTGAAGAGTATGAAAATTCACTTTCAGATGATTATAGCGATAGTAATTCAAGAAATGCAGAACACATAAATAATCATCATTTGGAATGTAAATCAGAAATCAGTGACTCTGAACGTGAACGTAGATCTACTTTAGTACATCAACTGATATCTGAAGAAATTACCGGCCAAAGTAATTTATTCTCTGCTTACAAAATTCAAGGTTCTGAAACTGATTGGGCTGAAGCTGTAGTAGGACATGGAGCTGATCTTTCTTCACTTACTGTTAAATTACCATCTAATCAAAAAATTAACAATAAACGGTAAGTAGTAAGTTTCGCAGAAAGTATAGTTGAAGTCGCTTCATTTGAAAACATACTAATGTTTCGTATATACTTCGCATAATTACTTGGGACGATTTGAGAGATGATATAACATTATTAAATCTTACATTATCGATGCGATTCAGTCTTATGAGTTTCATACATCTTCATCTAATTGTTCGTGTTAAACATGAAATTCCAACGAAGTTATTATATCTTCAAGAAAAAAAAACGAGTTTCTTTCTTTTGGTTTCAGATCGACTTGGTCAATTTATTTTTTATAAGATTAGATAATAATTTACTCCGCCTGTTGATTAATTTATATATATTGCTTATAGGATCAGTGACTTATTCACTATGAACAATCACTATGATTATCTTTTAAATCTTCTCTTACATAGCAAAAATAATTTGATTAGGATTTATTGCTATTTCTTTTTGGTAGATTGATATTAATTATAAATTCCAGATACTTATTTAACATATTTAGATAATTCCATAATAAACTTTTGTTAATGACTTGTTTATATTCCCTTGAAAATCTTATATTTTATACTGATTTACTGAGAAAAATTTTCATTTAAATCAGTTGTGTGACGAAAACATTTTTCTTGCTTAATAGAAGCATAAAAAGTATTTCTTGTTAAAGACAAAAAAGTTATTTCCACGAGTTCTAGTAACTCTTTTTGTTATTGTTATTCTTTAATTTAATTTAAAAAATATTCACTATAAAGTAAATGCCATGTCTTCTGGTTTTTATACTGTTTCAACTTCAACATTTAATGTTTCGTGTATTATTCAATTCTTTCACAATTATTAATCTTGATCTATCTTTTGGATAAAATATTCAAGACCTTAACAACTGCTTATTGAGTTTCTGATTATGAATAACATTCTTGTGTGTTTGTGTATTCCCCTCTGTTACATGGATCAGCAAATTTTTATCATTATTTTTAACAGATATATTCTGACTTATTGGTTTGAGGCTATATAGCTTTGAAAGTGAATTTATTTAATTAATCCTTTTGGTTATTTTATGTCACGATAAGTGGATAAGTGTATTCCGTTTATTTAGAAATTAGAAGAACCCTATGACAATGAAGAAATTCAACTGGTCTTTAAGTTACTCTATTTAATTTACTGACGTGAATACGAAAATGAACTTTTTCACAGACTGCAAAATAGCATAAATATCCTAAATGTTATTAGAAAATATTCATCACAGTTTATATATATCTGATCTCAAACGATACATTTTGGGGATCATTATGTCAAAAAGATTTTATATCGTTTCTTAACCTATCTATATCTTAATTTTTTTAATTTTACTTTTCTTAGAAAAAATAAAGATCAACAATCTTGTCACTTCGAGAAGAAAAAACATAAAAGAAAACTTAAATTGACTAAATCGAAGCGTCAAAAGCTGAATTGATTTCGGAATTATTATTTTCTTGTATACAATGGTGTAAAGATTTAAATATATAGTCAACTATGTTTCCCCGACTTTTTATTTTTCATGTAACATTTTGATGGGCTGATTTAATCGGACTTATCCAACACATTACTGATTATCTTATCATTTTTCGTTATCGCTTTCTAAGAACTGATGAATGTGAATGTTAAATGGGTTTCGAAATCTTATCTAATGTTGTTCATTCAGTATTTTTGAAAATTAACCTATGTAATCGAAATTTACAATTTATTATCAGATATAACTATCTCCATGCTATTTTAGCCTTCTTTTTTTAAAAGATACACTTATCTGTCATATGATTCGACAATTTCATTAAATTGAAAAGTTGTACTAGGTTTGAGATATCAGTAGATACTGAAGTCATTTTTTGGTTCCTCCAAGCCGGTACTGTCTCTTACTTATTAATTTGGCAATTTTTCAGAAATTACGTACATTCCTTGATTCTCACATTTAATAGACTTATTGACCAGCTTGCGATAAATTTTTTCTGACCTCATCTTTTTTATGATTGGCCATTATTGTCAAGGTTACCTCTACTACTATTTAGTCTATTGGACTAAATAAGTTATGAAGCGGTTGATCAAGCTTCTTCCTTTCCCAACTTCGATATTTTAGTGACAGTTACTAAAAATGGATGAAGTAAACTCTCATGTGCTTTACCTACCTCGTAAGTAATTCGAAACGTTTTTCTTATAATCGTTTTATTGTAAGTCGTAGATTCGAAAAGACTAGTTTCAAACTCACCTCATTAGCTCGTCATAAATTGTTAAGATAAATCTTCATGTGTATTTACCAAAGCTGTATAATATAAAAATGACAGTGACTTCAGTTCTTGATTTCACACTTTTTGTTTGCGTTATCTAGTGGCACAATATTATAATAAGGTAAACTCATAAAAACTTTATTTAATAATAAATCTGAAGAACACGAAAGGAGGTTACCAGTTCCAATAATGTACTTATATAATTGTTGAAAAGTTCCCATTATATCAAAACACAATTTTATGAATGAGGAATATTCTTTTCAATAATTTCTCATCAGGTTCTACAATTATATATCCAAACTAATAATCCATAAAATTGGCCAAGGCAGAGTATATCATTTAAAAATATAACATATAAATCAAGAGTTGTTTGTTATGTAAAATCAAATCTAATTGTTAATGTTGGAATGACCAATATGAAGTGTTAACTTGAACTAGTTTATAAATGAAATGGGATTGTGAGATATTTGATCATTATAAATATGGTCAACATGGGGTAAGAGAGAATAATGTAATTACATATATTGGAAACAATATTTTTCGTCCATATAATTGTGTCACAAAACTGCAAATAAGTACATTTATGACATTTTGTTACCAAAGTTTTGTACTGGAGTAATAGGGGTCAGATGCAAGTTCGAAACCACCGACCGTTTTGAATTACTACACTGAAAAAATATTTTTCAATTACACCACTTCCCCTATTTTAGATGTTTTTCTTTTGACAATGCATTCCAACCGACTTTCCAGAGTCATCGATACTGAGAAGTCCTAAGCAATGTTTTATATCTATTTCACGCATCCATACTTTGAAAATTCCGAATAAATTTATTTGAACCAGAGAAAAATGTGTCTAATTATATGGATCACTAGTTTTCTCAATCCTTGTGGTCGTTTGATGTCTAACGAACTCTTTGCTCATTACTTCATTATGGCTAACTTATCCTCTGTTAAATTAAACACAATTGTTTGTTGTAATTACGCCTGTTCACGTGGAGGAGCATAGACCGCTCACTAGTATTCTCCTCCGAACCCTGTCTCGGGAAACCCTTTCCAGCTAATCACTTTTGATGTCGGTTCTGATTCCCGGTTCAGTGTGTTCCCTGGTCTTCATCTTTTCCTTCAGGATCCCAAGTTAGCGCTCGCTTCGTGATGCATTTTAATGATTTGCTCAATGTATGTCGTAACCACTCTGCCCGTAGCTCTTCTAGGGTTACTACCGGTCCCAAGCGCGGGTAAACGAGGAGGGTTGAGCATGGGGTCAGCAACTCCATCCCGTAGAAAACAACCTTGTTAGAAAAACGCCAGCCAGAATAAACAATTAAAACTCTACCCTGGAATTTGATGGGTTTTTCAGAAGAATTATAACGTCTCATAGTGAAAGCCGAGATTCTTCACAAGGCCAATGACCATTTTAACAGCCAGAACAACAATTAATGTAAGTATATGTAATGTTCGGACATGGGCGACCTAGAAGACTAGTCAAATAGCTACGGAAACGAGAAGATACAATTCGACGGTGCTCAATATAAGGGAAACTCATTGGACCTGAGCCTTAAAGACTGTATGTTATAGGATATATTTACTACGCATTTTTCTTAATGCCGTATATATTGGTTGAAGAACTCACCGAGGAGTAAATAAAGTGTTTTTGAAAACCTATCACATGTCTGTAGACTAGAGTACTTCTAAACGTCTTGAATTAAATGAATTAAGTCGCCTAGTGAAGTAGCGGATTTACAATGGTTGAATTGTCTGATAAATTCGTAGTGTGTATAAAATCACCACCTTACTCACTGTTTTGTTACCTGGATCAATTGTAGCTTGGCAAACACTGAAGGTAGTCAGACCGATAAATCTATTTAACTTTAACGGAATGACTACATTGTATCGCTCGTAATCAGTTATACTGCTGCAAACAAGTTATTGTTTTTTTCTTAGTCTGGAACATTTTATTTAATTGTCTTTACCTACCGTTTTTAAATGTATTGTCTCTATTGGTATTTATCTTTTACTTTCACCTAATTCAAGAGCACACACTTCAACTAATATCCATTCTGTTTTGTGACTTTCTGTCTACTTTAGTATCTGCATTCTTGATTATTTTGTGTGGTTCTGCTTACAGTTTGGGATATGTAGAATATTTCATGAATTTTAAGTTAAGTTAATAAGCGTGATTGAAACATCATTGACTGAATAAAAGTTTGAATTTTGGATAGAATCAGGATTCCCATTTTTGTAATAGTACTCGAGTGAATTGATTTAGTAACTAGTCTGGAAACTTATTAAATAAAATTTGGTCAGAAATAGGAAATAAACAACATGATATTGATTACAATCGAATAATCAAAATACTCTAAACTTGTATATGGAGTTCCAGCAGCACAATTTAGAAAAAAATTATAAATTGCAATGTTTAGAACCAGAATCTTAGCTCATTTGTGTAGTAAATCATATCACTTTATGAAGATGTATTCATCAGGAACTGCACTTTTATGGGAAAGGATGTTTTCAATTTCATATCATGTAGTTTTAGGGTGTATAATATGTTAGTATATCTTAGGAAATGATAATAGACACTATTTAATCCTGTTTATTAATATTATGTACATGGTATCCATATCTTTCAGCTGATAATGTCACCAATTTCTGGTTTTATGCTGTCCTTGCAGCAATGATAATTTTCTCATATTTTGTCGTGAGAGGGATTAGAGAGATTTAGTAAGTTTATTGTTTTAGTATAATTAATTAAAAATGAAATCACTGTTATGGTAGACACAATAAGTGTAAATTGCGTTTATATTTATAATATATCATGACAACTTTGACCAAGAACCTAAAATTTTTCCTCCACATTTGGAAGAAATAGTATTTTACTATTTCTCCGATTCGCGTACCATTTTACAAATTTATCTGTTGTGACACAGTAACTATAGATCTTTTAGCCTGGAAATCTAAAATGATAAATATACATTGTTTCTTTGGCGTTCTACTGATCTCCAAATTGACTAATTTCCTCATCTTTTTAACAAAACAGTGTTTGTTATACATGTAACCTATTTTTGAGATTTAGATATTTTCTGCCTTAGAGGCATAAGAAATTCGTGCGGATTCCTACGGCACTTCTTTAAACGTAACTACAATCAGACTGATTCTGTTTTCAGGGTAATCTACTCGTCCTTAGTTACCTTAATTTACAGAGTTACTATTTTCAAATTTAAAGCTGTTGTTTTAAACGAACTCACTATTTAATCATTGTATATATTTCTTTTTCTTAGTTTTGAAACAATAACCCAAATTTATGTCGTGTTCACCAATCACATAAGCCAACAAGTTATGGTTCTGATGAGAATGGAACGAGAACTGGTCCACACTCATGATAAACTGCCTTTTATTAACTGTTTCAGTCGATTTATTTTCCGTTATGTATTTAAATCGTTTAACATTACCGTCTTGCCATTTCCCTTTCAATTTATTTGTAAGAAGTTGGATATTTTCCAACTACCTTATTTCTGAAAATAATACTGTTAGGGGGAACATTTATCTATTGTCATTAAAGCCACGGTTCTGAATATGTATATTTCATTCATAAAGAAAATTATTCGTTTTTCATGGTATATACAATATATTTCAGTAATAAAACATACACTTTATGTTATGAAGTGATCATTCTCAATGTTTCTGTCAAGGTCTCAAATAAGCTCTTTTCTTATTGCCTCACCAGACAATAGCACATAAGTTCAAGTAATTTTTCTATTTTCCAAAAATGACACACTTGACTTTTTTATCTCTCGTATCCCCACAGGCTATAGATAGTACATAATAGACAGCCCAAATATTATCAAATCGCTACATCCACAGAATAAATAATGGTATATAATTTATCAGTCTTAAGTAGCCGATATTTCTGGTTGCAGTTTGCTCGCAAAAACTTTCATTGTATTTTACAAATATGTCTCGGACTGTGAACCCTTCAAAATCATCAGACAACAGTGGTATGATAAGTGAAAGTGAACTTAAACTACAATTATCTTGAATCCTTATATGTACTTCTAGATCTATACACAACCTTCGCCTTTAACTGTGACCTTCTATATTTCAGCCATAACCAGATGCTTAAACTGTAACCACATACGTGTTCTTTGCCATGGGATTAAATCTAGCACCTAACTAGAAAACTTCGGAAAGGAAATTTAATGTACAGGGAAGTGCATAATCTGTTTTTTTGCATCTTAGAAATAACTGGAGTATCTATATAATTATGATCCACAAGTTAGAATTAGAAAGGAAAAATAGTTTTGTGTATTACTCAATAAACTGTCTGGCGTCATATTCTATTTTCACTCTTGTGTCTCACCTCTAGTTATTTGGAGCATTAAATACATTTTGGTTGTGTAACATTCGATTCATTGATAAACACGGAAATTTAAGTATTGCTGTGGAGAGATGCAAGCGTGAGTCTTAACGTAGATTACTACAAATAATAAGTTGAACAAGTAGCGGTTATTAAACTATAACTCTTTACATTACTCATCTTTTCACGAACGAGTAAATTAACTTGACCTCAGCATGCCATTTTTATAATACAAATTCTCAATGTTCACCTGATGATTCTGCAACTAGAATTCCTTTCACTGGTCTCGAGTACAGCTCATTCAGAATTCCAAACTTCAAATGAAATTCTCTTAATGGTGTGATCGAATCAGTAAGTTTTTCACGGATACTTTTTGTACTAGGCCCTAAAACTGCACTAAAATGTTATCGCCTCAAAGAAGAGTGTAACACAAAATGTTGTGCTTTTGATTTTAGTAATCACAACGTTTCTGTTTGCACATCGATGCTTACGATTGGTAATGTAAATTCCTGCTATGCTATAGTTTAACAGTCTTTCGACGAGCAATTTTTTCTGGCCACAAATTCCTGGTTCATAAATATGCATAACTTGTATTTATTTTTTGAAAAAAAGATGAGCTTGACTCGTAGTTAGTTCAAGTGTCAGTTCAATTTTCCTCAGCAAGATTTGAAACAACATTCTGAAAATGACTTATTATCAAACATTTCTTGTCTCTTAATTTTGCTTGCAACGATTTAGCTTCATTGCATAGATTCCTAATATCATCCGTGCAACTGTTTTCTGCCTGTATATGCCTTCTAAAAGCAGAGAAAATGAGTAAAGTTACAACTAACTCAAAACTAACAAGTGCACATCTTAAAGCATCCACTATACGACTGACATGTCTGCTAGAGTAGTTGCGTTATAACATAAACTGCTCACAAACTTTTATCACACTTTTCAACATCTGAAATATTAGAGTCGTTAAGTAATGTTTGTGGTACAGTGGTGGGTTTTTCTTCATCATCATCATTATTGGGAATAGTTCTCTTGTGGTCATTATTTTCTTCTACTGAAAAACTAAATAGAACAAGTATTAAGGAGTTCGAAGTGAAAACCTGCGATGCATATTTGCACGAAAACAGAAAAAAATATTTAAATGTCTCGAAGTTACTTTTTGCTTGTTTAAATATTTCAATATCCAATTCGATCTATACACTTGGAGAAAGCGTCAGTTATGTCTCACGAATTGAGTTTGGTGAATATTCTCGATATATAACAACGATGATTCATCAACGCCTCAAGTTAGGATCCTGATTTTTTGGACTAGGCACCTGAAATTGATAAATTATTACGCGGACTTGTTCTGAATCTTTGATAACACACCAATTCTAAGACTAAAGAGTCTCGATGGCTTTTTCCGTAAGGTAAAAAATACAAGTTTTTGACTTTAGTATCAGCATAAGCTAACCCGCTATAGTGCATTTCCAACTTTTGATTCAGATTTATTTAGTAGGAACAGAAAGCCAACAGCTTGTTATTCCTTTTCTAGTATGCTTCTATGAGTGTCTAAACTTCTCTTGGATGAGTCAATTGAAGGTACAGACACCACTGCTTAGGGTAACAGGTTCCGGGAATCCATGAATCGGTGTGAAACCTGTATGTCATGGTTAATTTTTTCGTTCTTGTATTTTCTACTTGCCTGCTATGTTCCCTGAGATGTCCAGATATCGGAAGAAGAAAAAGCAGTGATATACTAGATCTAAAGTCATTTTTTATTATCTTATACATTAAAAAAGTACACCTCTTAATTTGCGCTGGGACAGAGTAAAGAGGACTGGCGTTTCAAGCCGCTCTTTGTATGGTAAACCTCGGAGTTCTGGAATTTCACAGGTAGCTGCCCTCTGTATTTATTCTAGGTTGTCCGAGCCACCTTTCAAACAGTGTCCTGAAGTCCGAACGCAATTATGAGGCTTTCTTCTAACTGAGATTGTCCATACTGTAGTGAACATGGTTGTTCCCAGATTTGTATATGTCCGTCCTAAAGTCTATATGGTCCTAAACTCCTTCGCTGCAAACTTCCGGCAGTGAGGCACGGTCTTAATTTCATGACTCGCTGTCACCACAAGGTCCTTGTCAGACCGAGATGTGGACAATGACTTTTGCACTCTGGCATATCTATTTACCTTTATATCCCCAATGTGCATGTAGACACAAGTTGCCTCGTCAATAAGCATCAGCTACTCTTTAGACAAGCTAATCTCAATATTTGAGTCTTTCTGAAGTGCTCATGCATCTGAGCCTCCCATTACTTCTCGCCAAATTTTTACGTAATTAGCGTATAATAACATTGGGGACTCAGCTACACTTGAGAGTTCATTCACATGCACCATCAAAAATAAAGGACCTAGGACAGAACCTTGAGGTACTCCACCAAGTACTGGTCTACAGGTAAAGCAATTGGAATTCGCTCTGACTTTCTGTCTACGACCTACCGGGAAATCCTTAAACCATTATAGTGGACGCCCGGTAATGTCTAGATTTTCCAGCTTCAAGAGCATTCTATTTATTGGCACCTTTTCAAATGCTTTACTGAAGTCTATGTAGATGAATATCCACTGGTTTTCCAATATCTAGCGCCTTTCTCGATTGTTCTCTTGCTATAAAGAGATTTGTTGTGTGAGATGATTATTCCCTGAAACCACGATTCTCAATATTTAACAAGTTGGTTTCTACGAATATCATGGTCTTCTTGACTATTCTTTCCAGTATTTTAACTAATATACTAGTAAGACTGACAGGTCTGTGGTTTGGTGAGAGTTGTATTGATCTCGCTTTATATATTCGAGTGACGATTACATTATTACAATCCGTTGGGAACTCACCTTGGTCAAGTGACATACGGAATATCGTAGTCAGTGTGAATATAATATATTGTGAAAATTTTCTCAAGAATTGAGGGCATGGTTCACCCGGTCCTGTTGATCTTTCCCTACCTAAAGTGCTAAGAACCTTAAGTAAGTCGTCTCGACCAAAGTCCACTCTGAAAGCTGATTTTGTGACCTTGAATTCGGGTCTAGTTCTTCGTCGAGAAGAAACTACTGAATGGAAACTGTCCCAAAATAGTTTGTCATAGCCTCTGCTCTTTCTTGATTATCATCTATCATTTCAAATCCACTCCCTTCACTAAATATATTCTGAATCCCATGCAGAGTTCTTGTTTTTAACTTATGTATGATTTCAGATTGAGCCAACTACTTCTCATCTTTTTACTGACCTTCACGGATTGTGACTATACAGTTTTTTTGCCCGCCTGTAGCGTTTTATTGCACTTTCAGTGTCAAGGTTGATGGAGACTTTCCGAAATTTCTCTCTTTGTATTGGTAAACGTCGAACATCTTAACCCATCCCGAGATAGCCGTGCTTCTTTTTCTTTGGGACTGTCCAGGGTATACTTGATTGTATAAGTTCCGGAGATAAGTCCATACCTATTCTGATAATATCCCGAGTCGCTTATTTGGAATTCAGCCAGGACTGCAGAGTTGATCGCCTACATCCCTGTCTTCCATATGTTTAGGACTGGTGCAAATACTTGACAAGCTAGTTCAGCCATGAACTTGAATGAGATGATTTCACGATCACTTCATCCCAAAGCTGAGAAGAAAGTTGCTTGACTGATATCATCACCGTGTGTGAAGATGAATTCCGAGAGAGGCGAGGAGTTATGTAAGTCATATCTCGAGAGATCTCTAATATGCTGGAATAAAACTAAGGCGGTTGTGGTATCTAACAATTTTTGTGGCTGAGTTCATGCTCAAATCTGAATTTTATTTCTTTTTCAGAATATACCTCTAACACGTGCAAAAATGACTTGTCTGTAATCGGAGTTCGTCTTAACGTAATTCTTGAAATCTCCTCTTCCGTACGATCCATTTTGGCGTGAAACGCAGAAGTCTTGTAGAATTATGGTCTAGTATGATATTAGTACTACTCTAATAATAGACCTAATCCTAAATTTGTAGATTTGTCATGATGTAACTGCCCAATCTATAAGATCTTACGGGGAAGTCACACCATCGACTACACCAAATCACTGTATCATATCAATTACCAATACATGATGTAGAACAAGGTTAGGCTAGAGAAGGAACAATATATTTAATATGAATAGAAGATATAAGGTAACATTCAGCAGAGACCACGCCTGCATGGCCGAGCCATGCCACTCGATCAACTCCAGCCCATTCAATTCATTGTTCGCGCCTTCCCCATCTTTAGGTAGTTCTCCGCGTTAAATATTGAATATCTATTTTCCGAGTAGTCTCGTGTTCAGCTTTGAGGATTGTGTGATTATGGTCCAATGCCATTACAGTCTTACTCTGATTTCTTACTTTTCGTTTCTGAGTGTGATTGTAAGCTGATCATTTATCTTGTTTTATCTCTTGATCACAACATCTACACCACTCAGGTTTTGCTCCCCCATAATCTGATTTGCGTTGATATATTATTCCGGGACTAATACCGTAGAATCACGTATATTGATGCTGCTCATAAGCTTTTTCTTCTTCTTCCATGTAACGATATCTACATCTTCGTTCTTGTTATCTGCTTCCCTAATACAGTCCTTTTTAAGGTTTACACTCAACTCCGAAGAAAGATTAGCTAATTCGTCGAAAATTGAATTCTGCTGTTGTGTTCAGCAGCTCAGTCGCCTCAAGAACCAGCATAGACTTTGTAGAATAGCTTGCTTTCCACATCCAACATGCTAGTAGCTTCTATCACCTGGTGTGAGACCAGTGCACACATTTAGATAACACTTATCGCAGTTGTCACATTACAACCCATTATCGAACGAGAAATAGCATGATTGTTTGCCAAAAATTTATTTATTTTCCATAGTGACTAGTTTAAATAATACGTTCTGAGTCACGAATTGTTACTACTTATGAGGGTTGAAGTAGGTCTTACCTAAATTAAAAATGTTTATATAGCGTTTGTTTAGATTGTGAGAAGCAATTACACGAAGACACTTCCCTGTACATCGATGGTTATTAAGGGAGTTTAGGTGTTGCTAGGTGAATTTTGATTATTTATGATCTGTTTAAAAAAATTAATCGATCGCAACGGTGTTGGCAATTTTGATGAACTTCGACCTGTTTATTGAGTGATTATAAGTTGCTTTTTCAAAAGCCAAATTTATATCACCAATTACTTCGGGTCATAGATGCAAATAATCTCGCTAAAAAAGTCCTACAGACACGTGATTAAGGACCTTGTTTGTCTAATGAAGCTGCTTTGTGAGGTCCTGATTGCTCCTTCCCCAAGTGGGTGACAAAATATTCGATCTTGTTTTTTTCTCAATAATCCGCGATATAACCAGGGATAAATCTGTTCCTGATAAGTCTTTAGGTCTACATTTATGTTTTGATGATAACATATGTTGCCCATCTGGTTCACAGGAAAGTTGCGGCCTCTAAGAATAGTATAAACATCCTCAGTAATGACGTCGGTATGTCCGACCTAACCATTTTACAGCGAATTGACGGGGACTTAGCGATCTGAAATGGCATAAGGCTTACGTGTTTCGATGGTAGCGTAGATATCATTGAAATCAAGTAGACCTTACCACAGCAGAACTCCAGGAGAATATTAAAATTTTGACAGCGGTATCTTCAGAATGCAGGGAAATTGCTGAATACGCTCTACGTGACCATAGCCAGCAACATCCAGCTCACATAGAACGGTCTCGCAGCTGGATAACGTATGATGAGATCATTGCCTAGGTCGGTATTAGGTGTATTTATCTTTGTTACTAGAATAATAAACTAAACGCGAAATTGCATGATTGTCATGACTTCCTAATTCATAAGTTCCTAATGGAAGTCGCATCATTGACCATACTATGACTCGTCTTTTTGTGAAATTCAGCATTATGATGATTAGAACGTACGAGAAACACGTGTGAACTGAGGAGATTATATTGTATTTGATGTGGAAAGGAATACGTTATTTTGTAGTGGCATTGTGCAATAACCACCCAGTCCTCAATACTGAAAATGAGACACTAAAGAAAATGGATGTTCAACATTTAGCGCGGAGAAAAACCTCACGGTGTATAAGGTGAAAAGAAGGATTTGAATGAACTCGAATTGATCGCATTGCATGGCTCGGCCTTATAGGCGTGGTCCCTGTTGAACGTTACCTTATAATTTTTACTCATAATAAATATATTGTTCTATCTCCAGCCTGGACTGGATGTGATTATTCCCAGTTATCGTATGTTAGGCTTCAAAGATCACTATAGTATTACATTCAATCTGTTTCCTAAAATAGAATTCCTTAAATTTTCTCTTATTACCACTGTATTTATTTATTACCCAAGAACTCGCAAAAATTCTTTTCTTCAAAAGGAATATTTCTAAAATAGTGAAAATACAAGGTACACAGAGTAAATTCATATCTCACTCAGCTTTTAATTTCTAGATGTTAAAATATAGGAGAGCCTGATCATGGTGTATCACTTTCCTCACAGTTTTTCAGACATTAATAGACTACCGTTACCTTTTCGCAATACAACACACGGAAATATTCGGTACAAATGTTTCTACTGTTAGATACAAGGATGTGTAAATGTGAGATAATAAAACAGTCTTTGCTTAGTTTTTAAGAACAGGCGCAAGGAGCACTTTAGTTCTGTAGGTAGTCTGTGGGACTACTAATATTTACTCCTTGTTAAAAATTTTGTCAATATCTATATTTCTGTGTCCCCGGTTTCCGAAGACAATGTAAAAAGGATTATACCGTTTCACACTACAGGTCCAAACACAACCATCTAGACATGAATCTAAAAAACTAAACCAAAGTTGTCACATTTATTATTGGTTAATATTTTAATTATTTCGCGTAATTGATGGACTGCAACATGAATTTTGGCTGGTTGCATGCAAGAATCCTCTCCTATAAACCAATGCAACTTCTCTGTTGCTACCTGAGTCAGTTTGAAAGAATAAATAGCTAGGTCAAATGAAATGCGGGATTCTAGTTTTGGTGTGTATTTGAATTGCAATTTAACTCGTAAAAGGTTTACAACACAACGGTGTCGATACCTTGATACCATTTCATTATGTTAAATAATTTATTCTAATATGCTGTGTACTTCAGTAGTGTAGTGATTGAGCGTTGAAAGCAAATTTGACGATCACACTTGTACTTATTAATGTTACAACTTAAAAAACCGTCCTGACGAGCTAATCTGCAGGCGATTCTTTCATTATCATAAGAGACATTGTTTGGCTGCTCGCAGGCTCTTTGTTTCTCTAACAAAAGTACATGATTTTGTAAGGGCTAAACAAAAGATTTTGGTTTAATTTATCACCCGTAAGTCTTGCTAATTACTACTAGGAACTAGTTACTCTTTTGAAATTGAGATTACCATTAACCTTCACAATAAACCATCAAGATTCTCAGCTTTTTTACCTGCAATCCTCGGATCTGAGCTTATCTTTTATGGTACTAATTGTAGACTCGAAAACTTTAGAGAAGACGTCTTCTCTAGGTAGCACTTCTCTATATTAGTTGAGAAGTACAGCTTATTTGTTAAATATACCTAGTCTAATGTGAAAGCTCACTTATTTTAATTTCCATAATAACACAAGTGTTATTTCTCAATGCATTTATTTCTTTAATATAGGCTTAGACTATTGACTTCTCATTTATTTAGGTCTTTTAATTCTACCTTAGCAATGATCGCACATTGGATGCCATGTAAAATCGAAGCAAACGGGATGAAAGCGAATTCTGAACTTCAATGTCTAGAGACTTTAAAGTAATTTGTATGACATGTGTCGTTTTCTATTACAGCAATGAATCTGGTGCATTAAGTAATCATGTACTAGTTTCAAATTTCCGCGGTAGACCATTACGAGGAGTTCAACTCAGTTTCCCTGATAGTTACTCACCAGTGGTTGTTCACCATAGTGGTATCGTGTCAGACGTTGGAACAGAACCAATAAAATTTGGGGCTAAGCTCGATAAAATATTCCTATGGAATTTGTCTGCGCCACCAAGTTTCTCAGATCCTATACCATTATCTCTCACTTGGCTTCATTTGGCTAGCATTTTGCATTCAAGCTCCTGATATTCGCTAATACATATTGTTCACACTTTTTGTATATCTTGTTATGATGACGGTTAATGTTTTACATATCTGTACAACTAAACGAATGATGATCATACAAGTATTTTCATAACTGATTTCTTGACTTCTTCATGAAGACAACCATTCTTTTTGAGTAGCCTTTTATTTAATTCATGACTAAGCATCATGTCCTGATATTATATAAATGTTAGCAAAAAGTCAGTATCCACAAATATAAATCCAAAGGACATTAAGTGTTGAATATGCTAACATAGAACAATATCTAATTTTTTCTTGCATCATGTCGTATGTGTGATGCGTTGTTGAGGTATTATTGTATTCCCACTATTAAACTATTTTAACATGTTTCGAAATATGTTCGGATGTAGTTTAAATATCTGTCGATCACTCTTCCATTCAAACATAAGGCTTATAGCCAACATTTGTTTACATTTCTATGACTTTTACGGTTATAAGTCCTTTGGATTAAAAGCGAAAAACGATTAACTGTCATTGTCATGTAGTGATAACTCGAAGTATATTATTGATCAGATTGAACTGATTATTTCGAGACTACTAGCTGTATCAAGCCAATTTACTATATCGACAGGTGATGGCGGTGTGAGTCAAGTATCAATTTAATATAAATTATGAGTACAAATGTCCATAGCTACCCGCTGCATAATCACCTTGGCTAAATCCGTAAAAATAAGATTGATAACAATGACAAACAATTTCCTTAAGAATGATTGAGGCAACTCTGTATTATATGTCGAAAGATGTATTTGTCAGACTGCGTTTAGAATATACTGTTTAATAATGTATTAAGAGAGAAAAGGCTGTCCGGAATGGTACGGATTGATGAGTATTGTGAGAAGCTTGGTGGGAGTATTTTATTTTCTTGGTTTCTTAAGAATGAATGCCTGCGCTCCTACAGACTACAGCCCGGATGAAGTGAAAGATGACTTTTACAGAAAGCTTTCTGAATTTCTTCAAAAAGCTAAACGCTCAGACACAGTACTCGTGGCAGGTGACTTTAATGCTCAACTATGTAGCTTAAACCAAACAGAAAGACATTTGGGTGCGTATTTTAGTACTCCGGCTCAGCGAACAGATAATGGTGACCGTCTTTTACAACTGTGCCTAAACAATAGTTTACTTCTAACGAGCACCAATTTCAAGCATAAGGAGAGACATCGTCTAACATGGCGACCGCCTGCACCAAACCAATGATAAACCCAAATAGATCATAGTGGCATCAGTCACTGTCTGAGAGGCTCGATAACAGGCTGTCGCCCATTGTGGAGTACATATGTAAACCCTGATAATGCTCTAATACGAGCACACATTTGTTTGCGCCTCACTGGACGCAGAAAAACCACATTAAGAAGACGCATTAGAGTCGAACTCACTGACGAGGAAACGAAAAGTAGATCCCAGGAACAACTGAGGTCACACTTAGGTAGTTCTGAAAGCGAGGCTGACCCAGATTTTGCTTGCGAAGATTTACATACAGCAGTGACATCTATTAGTGATTTGAAACAGTGTCACGAAATACGATGGGTATCTACTAAGTCTATTGCACTGATTAATTCTCGTGAACTCAACCCATCAGGCTCTGAACGCGATAAAGAACGGAAACAAATCAAATCTAGGTTAACCAAAAGTTGAAGGAACGATCGTGAGCAGCGGTGAGTAACGAAAGCAAAAGAGATGGAAAAATCAGCGGCTGTGGGTAACACAAAACAACTCTACAGACTAATAAAAGAGACTGGAATTATAAAGTCAAATGTAAGTGAGACGATCCCGCAGTAAGTCGACACTGCTCTCAGTTCACACAGAACGATGGCCGGAAAAATTTGAGGAGCATTTCAGCTGACCTTCAGCTACTCTACAACTACCCACCATTCCCAGATAGCTTCAATGGACTATTGAAGCTCCCTCCCTTGAATCTAGTTGAAGTTTAAAAGGCAACAGTTAATCTGAAACGAGGATGAGCAGATGGATTAGCTCCAGAAGTACTTAGGTATGGTGATCTAGTTTTAGCGATTAGGTTGACTAATAATTTAGCTAAAATCTGGAAGTTGTACGTAATCTCATCTGACTAGTTACAATCACTGATTGTCCCAATATGTGAGAAGGGGTCACAATCATCCTGTGATAACCATAGAGGAGTTAGTTTAACTAATATAGCATCTAAAATACTAGCCTCAAATTTTGTTGGACGCCTAACAAAGACTCGTGAACTGCAAACACAAGGAAATCCGGCTGACTCCAGACCTGGTCGTGGCTGCATCGAACACATATTCACTATTCGTCAGATCTTAGGACACAGGCATGCTTATCGGCGTCCACAATGATAGTTTATCTTAAAAACAGCATTTGACTCAGTAGATCGAGAGGTTGTGTGGCGGTGTCTGTCATTAAAAGGTGTACCTCAGAAGTGCATGAACCTTGTGAATGATCTTTACTCGAACACTACCAGTCGGACCAGCGCTTATGGAAAGTTGTCATCTGATGTGTGTCCGAAAGGGCTATCCACTATCTCCAATTTTGTTCAACTTCATCATAGACATACTGGTCAAAACAACGTTCTCATCAACTGGATTTTCGGACGTCGATCTCCTACCAGAAGGTCCACTTATCGACTTAGAATAAGCAGATGACAGTGCTGTTTACTGAAGACGCTGATAAAATGCAGTGTCTTGGTAGCATTGTGAAACAATGCCAGGATGTTTGGGATGCGTTTCTTATCCTCTAAATGCAACCTGTTGCTTCAGGACTGGCTTCCGTCAACACTTGAACTAAGGATAGGGAGTGAAGTAGTCGAACACGCAGACAACTTCACTTATCTTGGAAATCTGATCAGCCCGAATGTGTTGGTGTCTGACGAAGTGTGTGCATGGATTCAGAAAGCTCGTTTGACTTGTGCCGAATCACGTCACTCATGGCGAAGACGAGATATCCGTCTAACAATTAAGCGGCGAGTTTGCTGCGCGGAAGGGTAGGAGATGCTCGTAAGTTACTAGTATTTGACCACAGATGTCTCAGAAATATTGCCAGCGTCTGCTGGGATCACTGGGTAAGCAACAGTGAGGTTAGAGGCAAGGTAATAGGGGATGATAGCAAATCAGTTGATGAGGTTGTGAATCCTCATCGACTGAGATGGTTGAACCACGTGTTACATATGCCCGAACACCGATTAGCACGGCGCACAATGCTGATTGATGTTGGGGATGATTGGAAGAAAGTTAGGGGGAGCCAAACCAAAACATGGCATCAGTTCTTGAAGTCACTAACTTCTGATCTGAGCCATGTCGGTAGATGCAGACTACTTGGTTGGGGTCCGCGCGACTATCGTAACCAATGCAAATAATATAATGTATTTGTAATATCCCAATGAGTAGAAATGGATTTGGTTATTTATTCTCTGAGGAAGTGGCTTACACTCAGTTACGAAACGTCAGAAAATTTAATTTTCCTACTCATTGGAATATTACAAATATATTAATTTATTTATAACAATCTACCCAATGCTCAATTTACTCGAAATTATCAAGTCAAACCCTTGTAATGATATCGTAACCAATGGTTAGAGTCTCCGTGTGACATGGCTTAGAATCGGTCACAATGGCGCAGGTGTATATACTCTTTGTCTTCCCTTAAGCCGTGAGATTAAAATTGCTCTATACCTCTCTTCATACAAACTAATTCTTTCTTCCTGTGTTATATTCTCATACACAATCTTTCTTTTGTATATTACTACCATTGAAGTAATTACTTCTATGAATTTGGTGTTGATCTTGTCGTGCCAATAAGGTGTGGCAACTTGAACAGATGCATATATGCGCCTGGCTTTCGTTGTAGCTGACTGACTGACTGAGATGCAAAGGTCTAAGCCGAGTGTGAGTGATTTCGTCATCTATATATTGCAAGATAAGAAGACTAACTACGGTGATATATATATATATATATACTGTCACAAATAATAAATTAAACCTTTAAGCAGTAAAGATTTTCGTTTGGTACAAATAAATTATATGTACGTTTGTTTATTATATAAAGTATTATGGTTTTGTTATTAATTTGACCAGATTGTAATTTGTTGAGCTTTTTTCATATTCTTCAGTTCTGTTAATTCTTCATTAAAAGCTAATATTGTTAATTTGGTTGTATCCTTAAATAGATTAGTTTGACCTTTCATACATTCTGGTAATTTAAAATGGTCAGATTCATTATTTTTACTGTAAACTAGAAATATACTTAAACATTTGATTGCATAAGTAGTTCGTTTGCATTGGATGATGGTTCAATTAACAACGTTTGTTTACCAATCCAAAAGTTGAAATTCGACCAATTTCTCAACGATAAATAATGTTTCTTACCACTAGTTAATATTTGATCACCAAATTGTACAAAATTATATTTAGTTAATGTTTTAATTGACCACGGCCACGAATATTTTAAGCGTGTTAGTGAAAACCAAGAATTTACTTGTGCACCATGTGTATCAAATATTAAACAACATTTCACATGACCGATTTGATCAAATAATTCAATCTTAATACTTTGGAAACCAAAAAATAAATTCGATGTTAAAAAATGGTTGGTATTTTGCGTATGATAATGTGTTTTGGGTTTATACCAGTTGTTTAATAACTCGTTACGATACCAACAATGGCATAGGATTTGACGTTTTAGTGGAAATGCACTAGGTGGACTGGCTATTTCTTGATACCATAATTTTTTAAATGATAAATTGATGCCTGTATCAAGGACAAATAATAGTTTGTTAGGCTGTGGTAATAAAATGCCATCATTTTTACTAGGCATTAACCCATATGGTATGACATAAATACGTAGTTCATCAGCTTCATATAATGTAAATAAATAATTTGAAAATTTTGGTGGTAACTGATAATTTAAACTATCTTCTTTATGTGAATTTATTGGCAATGTGTAGAAAATTTGTGGATAATCATGATAATTACTGGTGTTTGGGAAATTATTATATTTCGAATTGATTGCATTATTCCATTCACATCTGGAAATTGCTGAGTTAGGATTGTCAACAATTAATATATAACCTCGTAGGAATTCACAATCTATTCGTTCTCTCTTCAACTTTTCAATTGTACTATAATCAACCGATGATAAAAGGACAATATAATTTGGATCAAAAACTACGGAGAATGCTTCATTGCTAAGAAAACATTTGTGTAGGAATACAAGAAAAAGCGATGTTAAATTTTATTCTGTTACCTATATTCTGAAAAAGGCTATAAACTTACTTTTTGCCGATATGTTTTATATCTAGTTTCAGATGGAGTTGGAGTAGAAATAAACTTATGGTTACATGATAGTTAGGACATCAATTAATTTACTAGCTAGTAGTTTAAATTGTGTCGGACCAAGTTTCTGATTGATGGTGGACAAACTGCTAGTCATATATGTTGTACGATTGAACTTTAGAGTTATGAGAATTTATTCCCGTATTACCTTGCTCTAAGTTTTCAAAATTCTATCGTTCACGGCACGTTAGTTCCTAGTTCCTGTCATTTCCCTCAGTTTTTGTTATTACTCTATACTTTCTATCTCATGTTACTATTGTGATAGGGAATTTAAGTTGATTCAGGATCTATTATGTGACACTTGCGTAAGTTCCTTTTTTTAGTAGCTTATCGAAAAAATCCATGAAAACTTAAATTCAAACAGGGGATATGTAACAGTAAATTTTAAGCCTGAGAAAAAACCGTTTGCTTGTATAAGAGTTAGTATAGGAAATCATTTAGTCACATCTAGATTTATGACAATTTACTTCCTAACCTCAGTTTCGAATTATAAATATATTCAATTTTATCATTATTATAGTGATCGTCATCAACAATTGTTTTTATTAGTTATTAAAAACAATTTGTACGTTATTAGATAAGTACTGGTGGATTTTTTTCTGGAATCTGACTGTATGACTCAAAACTCGGTTCACATTTGTAGTGATTTAGGATTATGAAATCATAACTAACAATACAATTACAGGCTTAACTTTAAATGGATTGGTTGAGTTTTCGTATTAGTGTTCTAATAAATAAAAATGTCAATAGTTGAAATCATGTGTCAATTGGAGCTAGGCCACCATGGAAAACCTGGAAGCACTGGACAGCCGTCTCGTCCTAGTGTGGGACTCCTCAGTAGTGCAAATCCACGGTCCCGCCTCACGAGATTCGAATCCAGGACCTATCGGTCTCGCGCGCGAATGCTTAACCTCTAGGCCTCTGAGATGACATCCAACGGTGCTAATGTCCAACTTCAACCATCTAAATTTGTACAAAACTGATTCTCTTCAAATTTTTATATGATATTAGGTGATTAAAAAAAACCTTAGTTGGCAATATTTTGTGTTTATTGTATCGTTGATTCATATTATTTGAGACCATTTTCTTTCAGCTTATATAATTGTTGTAAACATATGTATCGTTTTTTTTAAATTGCATATCACGTTCTTTTTACCTCAAATAGAATTGTTTTCTTAACGTACGACAATAGTTGTATGCAGTATATCAATATCGACTAGACGCATATAGATCCTAACGGGATAGTGTTTATAATCACATTTTAACCTCGTGGATGAGCACTGCTGAAGAGTCCCATACTAGGACGAAACAGCCGTCCAGTGCTTCCAGGCTTTCCATGATGGTCTAGCTTCAATTGACACATGATTTCAACTATTAAAATTACTAAAATCTCCACAAAACCCCTTCTAAAAATAAAAATGTGTTTATTATTTACTAATAAGTAACATTTGTTAGTAGTGATTTGATATAGACTCTAACTTAGTCGCTACAGTTAAATTCTGTCGCTTAATCTATCGAAGAAGAGTGATAAAACTATTAAGGGCTATATTGGGGAATATATATCTATATCTATATCGAATAACCCTTTTGTTCGCCAAACCTCATTCTCAGACCGACTCTTGCATTGGGTTTAGCAATAAATGTCACATGGCTTTGACACCACCTTCCTAGTGAAATTAGTTTATAGAATGACGCATTCTTGTGTTGCAACATTAATGTACTTGCTTCACTATTGGCACATGGGCTCCAACTTTCCATGTGGCGGTTCGCCTAGCCAAATAAAATGACATCTTGGCTCAAAGGTTCTTCATAATAGTGGTTTATCATCACCTCCTATTCTTGATTTCATTCCTTCACAGTTATCAGTGAAATACTATCTGGATATGAGATAAAAAAGAGATTAATCATTTGACTTCTGTATGTCAACAGATAAATAAATCAAGATTTATTTACGAATGTTCAACTTATATCATTGTATAATTCTGTAATTTTCTGTCTATGTAGATAGAAGTTGTAGTCATATTGATAATAATACACATAATAATCAGGAATAACTTCACGAATTCGATTCGCACTAAATAAGTTTATTGAGAATGTACTATTAATATATGTAAATTTTTCGAACTTTGAAAACTGAACCAATTCTGTGAAAAATACAAATACAAATCATGTATACTCAAAAAATTATTTTAACCAAAAAGAGTGATACCTTGTGAGGATGAATTTAGCCTTTTCCAAAAGTTCATATTCATTCCAAGGATACGAAGTTTTTAAAAACAATTTATTGAACCATGTATACTTATCTGAGTATCGTGCATTGAATCTTAGTTGAACGACTGGATTATTATTAGACCATAATTCAAATAATACATATTTATATGATCCACTGTACCACTGATCAAATAAATCATGCTTATACCAACTATTTGACATCTTACTACTTATATCCATGTCGCCAGTAGTATGATTAGTTATTTCATTGGAATCTGTATTTTTATTTGATATGTTTGTAATATTCCTGCTGGAAAAGTACATCTTATTTATTGATAACCCAGAACGAGACTTCATTGCAAACATTAGAATTGCTCCATTGTGTATAGCAGAATCTTCCCAATCTGTAGCTTGAAAATGTGCTTCATAAGTTGAATGGTAACTTCGATCTTTATACTGTTTACTAATTTGTGAATTATTGTTATCATTGCTTAGCGGTGGTTTGGTTCCCCCGTAGCTTTCGTTTATTGATGTTAAAGGTTCTCCTTTTTTGAGTGTAGATACTCCTGGGTAAGCATATTGTGAACTATTTGATGAATAACTTATACTGGCTGGCTGTTTAAATGTAATCGAAATAAAGAAAAACGGAAGTTATAACCTAAAAGTATTCTATGTTGTGAAGAATTGATTAACCACGATAAAATTTAAAATGACTAAAAATATATTTTTTCTATTCAGTATTAGTAGGTAGTCTGTAATATTACGTTTAGCTGTGTCAGTATTGACAAAATATATATATGTTGAAATCACGGACTTATGATCGTCTGTTTTATACCCCTGTATTAAAGTTTGAAAAGTATTTATTATATTAGATTCGGATGTTTTGGTCAGTAAACTTCACACTTTGTTTACCACTTCCTGTGTAATTCTATAACCTTCATAGCTTATTGAGTTGTTTTTTCAGTATAATGTTTTGGAGATTGTTCAGTTTCATTGAAATCATGAACCAATCAATGTTAGACCACCATTGAAAACTTTCAAGTAGTGGACAGTCGTTTCGTTCTGGTATGGGACTTCACAGCAGTGTATATCCATAGGCGTGAGGGAGTTACCCACTGAAGACAATGAGAGATGGCCACGCAATATCTTGGGATTGATTGAAGTTAAACGTAAACACCGGTAGATGCTGGCTAATTGGTCTAGCGTTAAGCGTCCGCGCTCGAGACCTGAGGTCATGGTTCGAGTCCATCACGCAGGGTTGTAGATAGGTACTTCTGGGGAGTTCCACACTAGGACGAACCGTTGCCCAGCACTTCCAAGTTTCCAGTGGTGATCTAACATCGATCAGTTCATGATTTAAATGAATCGGTCTTCTTTAATAATGTTGGTTTAACTGATTTCCTAAGCTTAGAAGCGCACTAATGTTATTCATAGTCTTTGATATAATGATGAATATATGTTAGTATATACTCAACATACATACAAGTATTCTAGTTTAGAATTAAGTATTAGGATATTTAGTTATGTCGATTGTATAAATATTCTGAACAAAATTTATTTTTTTAATCTGTTTACTTTGTTATTAAGAGGTTTTTTGATAATATGATGTTTTATTTAATTCGAATTTCGGATTACTATTCTTTCAGTATTCATCTGAAAAGTCTGATTATGGTATTTTACACAAAGTTCTATGATAAGTAGATATTGTTATTGAACACACACTGCATTTCACGGCATTCAACCATTGTAATATACTGATTTTAACAGTGATGAAATATAAGGTAATTAGTCCAGTTTATAAATTTCGATAGAGAGATGAGAAGACGGAGTTGATCTAAAAGATGTGATGTATATGAGCCATATAGTTCGGTCGATCTGGTCACATATATGCTTTTCAAGGTATCTTATATGAAAATTAATAAAGGTCAGTTAAATGAAGTGTAGGGCCAGTGAAATGTCAATAAACCCTAGCCAAATCATCTGGCAGTCGGATCACTGCATACGGAACAGTTCAGTGATCCTCGTCAAGGTCAAGTACAACCAACGCTCATCCGTTAATTGCACTTCATGGACTGCCTTATGGAGTGGTGGTCGCACTCCGATTTTTGTACCTACTCTTACTAATATGTTTCTGTAATAACATCGTTTGTGTTGTACGGTTATCAAAGCAGCCCTAGTACCTGGATACGACGAAAAGTTAATCCACGTTAAGTGCTAACCGCGAGGTGTGAATTCAGCGTTAGCTGGTTGGTTACACCTTTCCCGTCAAATTCGAGTAGGCTCCGAATCATTCGATACAGATAATCTAAGTTAGTACCTACAGAAGGTTCATGTAAACAAAGGAATAAAGGAGAGCGAAAATTAATATAGTATGGAAAGAATAGGAAATCATTCCATTACTCTAAGTCATAAATTGATTGAAGGATTATCAGGGTAAACTCAAGGTTACAATAAATTCTTTTTGTACACATAAATGGGGTTTAAATTTACGAATAGTCAAGGCTTCTATATACCTGAGAATTCGTCCTTGTGATCCTCAAATCTAAAAAACGTTCTTGGGTTGTTGTTATTCATAACTGGGACTATAAGGTAAAAATGTCATCTATAATTTTTGGTCAGAGTAATTTCCTAGATGAAGTTCCACCCAATATTAATTTTAGGAAATTGGAATCCGGAGTAAATTCCTATCGAATGAAGCTCCTTAAAATCAATGTCATAAACAAAGAGGAATTTAATATGCTGATACCTACCGGTTCTGTTCTCCCGAATTTATATAGATTGCCCGAAATTCATAAACTTAATAATCCAGTACAACCAATTTTATATATGCGTGGTTCTCCTACACAGAAACTAGCTAAATGGTTAGGAAAATTGTTAAACCCAATCCGTAATAAACTATGTAAGTTTTCCTTGAAAGATACATTTGAATTAATTGATCTTCTTGAGGACATTAATCAAGATAAAACTTTGGATTCTTTTGATGTAAACTTGTTTTACGAATGTACGGTTAACTAAGACTATGGATTTCGTTTGTGACTATATATCTACTAATTTCCCCGTTTTTCCTAGTTGGTCATCATTGTTGAAAGAATTAATTTTATTATGTACTGAAAATGTCCAGTTCACGTTTGGAGACGAATATTTTCGAAAGTTGACGGTGTTGCTATGGAAGCCCTTTGGGGCCTCTCTTAGCTGATGTATTTGTCAGATGTTGAAAATATGACGAGTATGGAAGATACATGGATGATATGCTAGTTATATGTAATAAAGATTTTGAGGTTGCCTGGTTATTAGATAAACTCAATGGGGTCCAAATCGATATCGTAATGAACTATGGAGCAGAAAATGATGGCCAATTGCCCTTTTTAGACATGCTTTTTAGTCAAAGGGAGGATGGTACTATAAAACTGTCATGCTTGTCAATATCTAAATTTCCAGAATTTCTGTCTATCGCAATACAAACAAGGCTTGGTTAAGTGCTCACAGATACTGTTGGAGAAGACGAAAGACTACTGAGTGACACTAATAACAAATAATTATCCAGTAAATTTTATAGATAGGTGCAGAAGTCAGTCAGCACTAAAACCTCTCGTTCATTCTGTTCCGATTAAAACTGTTTATATCTGTCTACCATTAGGAGGTGAATCTAATGGTATGGTTTTAAGACAGATTAAAAGCAGCTATCGTGAAAACCTATTACGCTGCTAAACTGGTTATGATTGAAAAGACTAAGCCCATGATCCCAAATAGACCTAGAAAATGCACGGACGATTGCGCCACATCCTATTTCATTTACCAATTTACATGCTTGTGAGGACACACTTAGGGAGGAGTAATCGAACAATGCAATCAAGGGTTATGGTACATGTGCCTAGGTGGCTTCAAAACCAATTAGTGTCAAATGATCCTATCAACATTGGAAGTAGAAAACCATGTTCATCGATAGCATAACACATAGTTGCAACGGGGCACAGAATTAACATCAATACAGCTTTTAAAACGCTGTATAGAAATTGTAAAGGACGAATTCTTAGGTTCATAGAAGTCATGGCTATTCGTAAATTTAAACCCCATTTATGTGTACAAAAAGAATTTATTGTAACCTTGAGTTTACCCTGATAATCCTTCAATCAATTTATGACTTAGAGTAATGGAATGATTTCCTATTCTTTCCATACTATATTAATTTTCGCTCTCCTTTATTCCTTTGTTTACATGAACCTTCATTTAATTGATGTATTTTAAGCACATTCTCAAAATGAAATGGTAATACAATTAAAGGTAGTCTGAAATATCCATTCACAAATATATCAAAATGATAAATACGAAAAACGTTTGGTTGACTGCAATCGAATAAATTAAGCGATTCAATAATCCTTTAGATTTCATTTTGAACAACCAATCAGTCTGGTCAGCAATTCTATGATGAATATAGCTCATAGATTAGATAATTTCTGAGGATTGAAGTGGAATTTATAAATATATATTATTGAACGTAGAGTGAAATTCCAACAAACGAAAGGAACAAGATTTATTTTTATTATTCTATACTGATTTTAATAGAAAATATGTGAAACTTCAAACCAATTAACAAACATTTTGTATAAAATTCAAATTTCGAACACTTACTTTCAGTAATTCAGTGGAACTATTATTAATACTCGAATTTCCATGGACTGCTGAACTTGAATAATTTCTATGAAGAGTTTGTTCAATTAATTTTAATAATAGATTTGCCATCTTATTTAATTTTACTTCACAATTATTTTCAGTTTTATTGTTTAAATTAGATTGATTCATCATTATTGAGTAATTTGTATGTGGTTCGTTTTGTATCGTTTGACTAGTATCATTAGACATTGAATATGAAGGTGATATAGGAGATGAGCTATATCTTTTTCTGTTAAATTTTTGCTCTTTAATTTATGTTGAATGGATTTATAGTAGTTTGGTGAAAGTGTAGATATGATGGTTGGAGCTGTGGTGGTAGCTGTAATGATGGGGTTCAACTTTACTAAACCAGTTTTCTTTTGCCTACTGTCATGATCTTTTAGTAAATACAATAATTCTATAAGCTTTGCGTTTAATGCTTCATCATTTGTTTTGCTTTTTTGATATGGTACACTAACTGGACGTACCGGAAGCTGTTTTCTTTCATTATAATCACCATAATCGTAATAATATTCATAATCACTGTAAGGATATCGATATCTCGTTTGTCTCATACCCGAACGTCTCTGTTGATATGCATATTGATACCAGGGATTTACAGCGGCTGTTTGTCCATTCACTTTTTCAATGGGCTTTTTTAATGTTAGTAATCTTTTAATTTCACTACAATATTTTGGAACTGATAGAAATAAATTTATTAAATGAAACCAATATTTTATTCATCAAACCATTTAGAAAATAAAATAAAATTCTAATCAAGATAAAAAATCACAATAAAAGAAAAAGAACTTTTTCCTTAATTTTGCTTTCAAAACGTATGACATTAAATAAAGATGGAAATATTGAGCGTAAAAGAATAACTTATTGTTCTCCATGAAACCTGAATATTTTTGATACAATCCCGTGTGAAGTCTAAAGAAGCTCACTGCCTAAGAGTTCATAACTGGGACAAAATAGATTGTTAGTTCTCTCAAGTGTTCAGTGGTTTTCTAGTTGTTGTCATCTATTGATAAGGACTAGTTATACATTTAGTGACTATATATAATCAGATAATCATTATTAGTAGAGCATTATACGATAATCTTTCACACTTTTTAATAACTAGTATTCCATAACTGTCGATCTTTTTTTGTATTATTGACTTTAATACATCGTATAAATTATTAAAGAAAAACATTTAAATTACCGAGTTGAATTTCTGTTTTTATTCTTAAACACAACACTCAAACTGAATAAATATGACATAAAAAACAACTCAAATTCATTTTCCTTTTTTTAAAAAAAAAGTGATCAATTTTATTTCATTTAAGAAAATAGAATCAAATTAAAATTCTTACTTTTCACGGGCAAATTACTTCAGTAGGATCGAAATTTTTTAAATCTAACTCTTTATAACCATTAAATTCAGTTAGTGTAAAAGTATAATGTGAAGGTTTAGCTAATCTACGTACACCTAGTTGATTAGCACCTGGTATTCCTATACTAAACACATAATCTACACGTTTATGTAATTTATGTATAATTTCATCTGATTTAATAAGAATCTGATTAGTTTTATGTTGTATTTTCTCTGGAATATTTCCATTTGTAAGTAGAATAAGCATTCGTGTAATATTTTGTGTATCTACATTATGTATTGGAATAAATCCAAAATTTAAAATGTTTAAAATTGCATAGATGATATCTGATTTCATTAAATTTTTATCAGGTTGTTTCATATTATTTATTGCTATTAATAAACTAGGCAAATTTATAGAATGTTCTGGTTTAACTGCAAAATATAGTTGATCCGTAAATAAAATGACCGAAATTAATACTCCATCACTTTTGATCGATAACTAAAATGAAATAAATGAGAACCAAAACAAAAAAAATTTTTTTTTAAAAAAGTACTAGAAAATCAAATTGTTTTATCAACAAACAAAATGGAAGTGTTAATTTTTTTCTTAAAACAAATTTATTTCACTGGAAAATTCCCATTATAATAAAAACACAATTGTATGAACGAAGAATATTCATTTCAATAATTTCTCATCAGGTTCTACAATTATAAATCCAAATTTATAATCCATAACATTGGCCAGAGAATACATCATTTAGAAATGATTGAAAAGAATAATATCTTCGTTCATACAATTGTGTTTTAATATAATGGGCATTTTCTAACGATTCAAATCTTGTGATCAACCCATTGTGTTGAAAACACTCAATGAGTATCTGAAGTATAACGCAAAGTTCACAGAAATAAAAACATCATTGGAATTTATTTTTTTAAAAAAAACTGTATTGAATCACGTCATTTGGAAATTGTAATATGTGAATTGAGAATTGTACATCATTTGGAAATGATGTATACTGCCTTAAATATGGCCAATTTTACGGATTATTAATTTGGATATATAATTGTAGGACTTGATAAGAAATTATTGAAAACAAATTTATTTACCTTTTTAGCAAAATCATTCAAATAATCTTTCACATAATAATCAAATGAAAATTTATCAATTAATTGAGTTCCATCTAAAAGAAAAACAACATCAGCTTTGATTGATTGAAGACATTCTGGAAAGAAATAAGAAGTAAACAAAATGAATGATTAGAAAGTTAATTAAAACAAAATATTATTCCACTTTTTATTGTTTTATTTATTTAAAGTTTCAAGTGATATGATAATGTCTAGAGAAATAATAAAAGTTTCATAATTCAATTGTTTAACTCAGAGAACATAAATTCAATGAGAAGACAATTGAAAATCAATAATCTTGATGAAATAATACAATGGGTATGAATATTGATTACTGACGATTTGTTAGAATTTATGTGTCCATATTTAAAGCTTACTATAATTTATTATAATAAACAATAGTGTAAAACATCTTATTGTTATTCATACACTAATGGGTATACCTAATTTGTTTTTGATTATTTATGCATTTAGAGAAATATTTATCTTCAGTATTCATGTAACAGTGGAGTGTTACGTAATAGGGTGTTATTTCTATTCAGTGAAGAATAAACTTAGTGAATATTGTTTGATGTCTATTTCTAGAGTCCAAACCGCCATATTTACTAATTTAATTACCCTCAGACAGAAATATACATTTCATTTTCTTCTACTTATTTACATGATTTCTGTTTGTTTTTTAAAAATTAACTGAGTGTTTTGCTACATAATTTTAAGCATTCTGTACTTAAACTGATATAAATAAACAAAGATGGATGTTGGGTAATATTGGAATCCAGGATGCGCGTTTTGTCCTATTCGGGATATCCAGCTGACGAGTCCCAGATAGGACAAAATGCACATCCTGAATTCCACTTCTAGCTACTATCCATCTTTGCTTATGAAACTTGTGACCTAAGGCAATATCGAGGCAGTTTGCACAGGATGCACATATGCCAACAAGTGACTGATCATTTGCAGTCCTAAGTAACAATCGGAAGATACATCTAAACAACACCAAGTGAATTTTTTGATAGAAATAAACTTTTAAGAAGTTTCAGTAATATAATCATGTAAAGTTTTTCTGAGATTATTCACTTCTTTCATCATAACTCCTACAGATTCTGCTGAAAACAATGTCTCCCGACCGTTGTTGCTACCTTGACGTGGTGGTCGGGCTTGCCTATCGTGATGAAGCAACCGAGCTATACTGGCTGGAACAACCGTTCCTCAAGGTCCTACCATGTCAGACAGGTCGGTTGAAGAGCGGTAAGACTAAAAGCAACAAACCCAAGGTCCGAAGGCGAAGTCGTACTGCTGACTGTACAGAGGTGTGACAGCAGTAAGGTGTTTCCTTCAGACAACCAGCATGACAGCGATGCTGCCTTCCCACAAGGAGGGGTGGGGTTAGAAAAGGTCGACCCTAAAAATGCACACCTCACCTTACCCACGGATTTCCGTCTCCGGCGGTAAGGCCCTTTGAAGAACGGAGCTAACACGTCGAAAACCTTCCACGAAAAGGCCGTGCGCGACCGGCCTCAAGCAGTTGTCCCTTGGGCACTGCGGTCACGCTCTCAGGTCACTGAGACCACCTCTAATCCAATTTCCTTTTCAGGTACCTCCAGAAGAACCCTTCCACGGTGTGGGCAACCGGGAAGTGATAACCGCCCTCATACCTCTAACAGCACCCAAGACCACTGTATTCATAATCAACCTTCCTCTTCAATTCCTATTATTCCTCCTACATCGACTTTCAACCCTAAACTTCCTCCTTTGGCTTCCTCCTCAAGTGTCACCATAGCCAACGATTCTAGTGCTCAAAACTCTGTCCCAGGTCTACTGAAACCTCGCTCCAAACTACACATTGGAGCCTTCAACGTACGCACCCTATGTCAAATCGGTCAACAGGCTTCCTTGGCTAAAACCCTAGAGTCTCTTTCCATTGATGTATGCTGTGTCTCCGAAACACGCATACAGGATCCCAGTGTGGTCATTCACTTGACCTCACCTCGGCAGAACGGAGAGCCAACGAGATACACCCTTCGTGTATCTGGTGACCCGATGGCCAGTTCTCGTGGACTGGCAGGTGTAGGCATAGCACTAAGCATGAGGGCCGAACAAGCACTGCTAGAGTGGATCCCCGTCAACAGTCGTCTATGTGCTGTTCGGCTGAACGGCTGCGTAAGAACTCGGAAGGATAGGGACACACGTCGTTGCCTTTTTGTCGTTTCTGCCTACGCTCCCACTGACTGCAGCTCAGATGAAGTGAAAGATGAATTTTACAGAAAGCTTTCCGAACTTCTTCAGAAAGCTAAACGCTCAGACATAGTACTCGTAGCAGGTGATTTTAATGCTCAGATAGGTAGCTTAAACCAAACAGAAAGGCATTTAGGTGGATATTTTAGTATTCCGACACAGCGAACAGATAATGGTGATCGTCTGCTGCAGCTATGCTCAGACAATCGTTTATTTTTAGCAAACACAAATTTTAAGCATAAGGAGAGACATCGTCTAACATGGCGACCCCCTACACCAAACCAACGATGGACTCAAATAGACCATATTGCCATCAGTCATCGTTGGAGAGGGTCGGTAGAAGATTGTCGCTCATTCTGGAGTACCTGCTTGGACTCCGACCATGCCCTAATACGGGCACGCATCTGCTTGCGCCTCACTGGACGCAAAAAAGCCACATTAAAAAGACCCATTAGAACTGAGTTGAGTAACGAGAAAACCAAAAGTAGGTTCCAGGAACAACTGAGGTCACACTTAGGTAGTTGTGAAGACGAGGCTGACCCAGATGTTGCTTGGAAGGGCATACAAGCAGCTGTGGAAACAGCAGTGACATCTATTAGTGACTTAAACCACAGAGTTACAAAGAACCAGTGGATTTCTTCAAGGTCTGTCACACTGATGGATTCTCGCAAACTCGTCCCATCAGGTTCCGAACATGATGAAGAGCGACAACAAATCAGATCTAGGTTAAGAAAAAGTCTAAGGAACGACCGTGAGCAGTGGTGGGTAACGAAAGCAAAAGAGATGGAAAAGGCGGCGACTATAGGGAACACAAGACAGCTTTACAGACTAATAAAAGAAACTGGAATTAATAAGTCAAGTGTAAGTGAGATTATTTCGGAAAAAGATAATACTCTCATCTGCTCCCAGTCCAGACGTTTAGAACGATGGGCGGAACATTTTAGAGAACAGTTCAGCTGGCCTTCAGCTACTCTACAACTACCCTCCATTCCCAGACAATGTGAATGGAACATTGAAGTAGGTCCCCCAACTCTTGCTGAAGTTCAAAAGGCTATAGTTAATCTGAAACGAGGAAGGGCAGCTGGTCCAGATGGATTGGCTCCAGAGGTCTTTAAGGATGGTGGTCCAATTTTAGCGATTAGGTTGACTAATATTTTAGCTAAGATCTGGGAATTAGACGTTATCCCATCTGACTGGTCGCAATCACTTATCGTCCCAATATATAAGAAAGGGTCAAAATCATCCTGTGACAACCACAGAGGGATTAGTTTAACAAACATAGTATCTAAAATACTGGCCTCGATAATTATCAAACGCCTAACTAAGACTCGTGAACTACAAACACGAGAGAACCAAGCTGGCTTTAGACCTGGTCGTGGCTGCATCGACCACATATTCACCATTCGTCAGGTTCTAGAACACAGGCATACCTATCGGCGTCCGACGATGGTGGTCTTTCTTGACTTAAAAGCAGCATTTGACTCTGTAGACCGCGAGACTCTGTGGCAGTGTCTGTCATTGAAAGGCGTACCTCAGAAGTACATAAACCTTGTGAAGGCTCTTTACTCGAACACTACTAGTCGAGTCAGGGCTTATGGCGAACTGTCATCTACTTTTGCAACCTCAAGTGGTGTCCGTCAAGGCTGCCCACTTTCTCCATTTTTGTTTAACTTCATCATAGACCTATTGATGGAAATAACACTCTCGTCGACTGAATTCTCGGGTATTGATCTCCTTCCAGGAGGTCCACTTATCGACTTAGAATACGCAGATGACATAGTCCTGTTTGGTGAAGACGCTGACAAAATGCAGAGTCTTCTGGTAGCACTAAGCAACAATGCCAGAATGTTTGGGATGCGCTTCTCTCCCTCTAAATGCAAGTTGTTGCTTCAGGACTGGTCTGCGTCAACACCTGAACTAAGGATAGGGAGTGAAGTAGTCGAACGCGTTGACAACTTCACTTATCTTGGAAGTCTGATCAGCCCTAATGGGTTGGTGTCTGACGAAATCTCAGCACGGATTCGTAAAGCTCGTTTGGCTTTTGCCAACTTACGTCACCTTTGGCGGAGGCGAGATATCCGTCTATCAATAAAAGGACGAGTATACTGCGCGGCAGTCCGTTCTGTTTTAATTTACGGCAGCGAAACATGGCCTTTAAGAGTAGAAGACACCCGTAAGCTACTAGTATTTGACCACAGATGCCTTAGAAATATTGCTGGCATCTGCTGGGATCACCGGGTAAGTAATAGTGAGGTTAGACGCAGGGTATTAGGGAATGATGGTAAATCAGTTGATGAGGTTATGAATCTTCATCGACTGAGATGGTTGGGCCACGTATTACGTATGCCTGAACACCGATTACCACGACGTGCAATGCTAACCGGTGTAGGGGATGGTTGGAAAAAAGTTAGGGGCGGCCAAACCAAAACGTGGCATCAGTGCTTGAAGTCACTAACTTCTAGTCTGAGCCATGTTGGTAGATGCAGACTACTTGGTTGGGGTCCGCGTGACTTTCGTAACCAATGGTTGGAGACTCTTGGTGACATGGCTCAGAATCGATCACAATGGCGTCGGTGTATACACTCCCTGTCTTCCCTTAAACTAAGAGATTAAAATCACTTCATACCTTTCTTTCTACGAACTAATTCTTCCTTCCTATACTATATCCTTATTGCAACCTTTGACCTAACCACTCCTATGAATCCGGTGTTCATCTTGTTGTGCTAATGAGGTATGGCAACCTGGACCGATGCACATATGTGCCTGGTCCTACGTTGTAGCTGACTGACTGACTGAAAACAATGTCTACAGTAATTAGCTTCATTTTATTTTCTTTCAGTTAATAGATATTAACAAAACTTAC